TCTACCTCATTTCCACAGATTACATTTATGAAATCCCATCTCTGTTACAGAACCAATATGCAGATATATTATTTACATTGTTTTCTGGAAGTGTAAAAGTTGCTGATACACTACAAGTACTACAACAGAGAAGGTACATTATTGGATCATAGATAGCATCAAATCCGAATTATTTTTAGGTCAGTTGAATTCCTCAAGAGCTGCTTTAGTGAGGACAGTAGGCTGGGATTCAAAATAATTAAACTAATTTCTCTGTCCCATCAGCCTTTCTCTGTGCCTTGTTTTTATCTGCCAGATGATGAGAGGAATGACCCATATGTAAAGGACATGGTGAGAAACACAGAAAGAAAAAAGCTGATTCAATGGTCAGGTACTTGACCTAAGCTACATTAATTTACCTATTTTGAATGTTCTCATGGTAATTAGACTCCAAAAGAACAACATAAACAATATTAGATGGAATTCTTCCCTTCACTTGCTGCTGTGTTGAAAAGGAAGTCAGCTACTGGGATAAGCACTTTCATTTAAATTTCCCAAATAAAATGACTGGTGAAATGCTGCTGTCTTTTCAGTTATTCTTTTTAAATTTGTCATCTTGGTTACCTGGTTAAAACAAAAATCAGTCATTCTCTATCCCTATTAGGTTTGAAAAAGACTGGAAGCAAGAAAAGACAATGAAACTAAATAAAATAAAGTACTGCAGGGAGGGGAATAATTTTTTTTCCCCTAAACCCTAGGCCTTTAAAAATTAATTTGATACAGTGCCATGTTTGGCCATGGCAGGGATTTTGGGCTTTTCCCCAAATAGTGAGATGAGCAAGCACTCGAGTCCAAATGCCATGGTACATGAATGCATATGTTTATGCACACTTAGGAGTTCAGAATTCACCTTCTGGAATATCCATGTTAGAAACAGAGAGAGCTTTCACTTAAGGCCCCCCTTAACTTGTAGAAATAGCATGCAAGTGTCACACAGCATCCCAGAAGGAGCACAGACCCCCCCCAGCCACTGTCTCTGCACACTGGGGACTGAGCTGCAGTCTGCAGGAACACTGCCCAGCCAGCTGGGCTGAACAGGAGACAAGGAAAACGTGCTGCTGGTGCACATGTACCCAGGGCCACACACACCTCAGGGACAATGCTACTACCACAGAGTGCAGTCTGGGCTCCAGCCCAAACCTGGCACTGCTCATTTGGACACACAAAACCTTTCTGATTACACGTGCTGCTGCGTGGGCCTTGCCCGTGAGCTGTCTGTGAACACACACTGCTGCAGGTACAGGAAATACAGGCTGTGATCCATCAGGGATGCTGCAAGGGATTGTGCTGTCATTAAAAAATACTCCCAAGTTCACAGCTTGCATTGTCCATGAAAGCCCCTTAAATGCACGTGGAAAGGAGGCAAAAGCCTAATAAAAGCAGGCCAGGATTCAGTTCTGTGAACTGCACTGGACAGAGACAGAAGGTGCTCTTTAGGCAAGGCTAAGTGACTGTGGCAGACAATGGGGATGAGCTGCAGGGAGCACTCGATTGCAATGGGATTGTGATAGGATGCACTCCCTTCCTGGCAGACAATGTACAAGTGATGATCCCAAAAAACCACACTCACCATTCACACACCAGGCAATTAACTGAAAGGAACCTAGAGAAAGCAAAAGAAAGAGCAGGTAAGAGGAGTTAGATGGAACGAGTATTACAATACTTTAAAAAGAACTGGTTTTCAGTATAGAAAAGGATATTAACACACTTAAGGTTAAAAGAATTTTCTCCTATGCGAAATTTCTGTATTTTTACCTCTAAGTACTCTCGGGCTTTGAAGAATCAAACTGACAAGTAAGAAATGGAACAATTTCTCGCATCAAACTTTTCATTTGAGAAATGAGAATGCAACTTAAAAACTACATTTTAAAATATATACTCAGACTACCCAAAAACATACTGGCTCAGGTTGAATTGAAACAGGAGCAAGTATTGTATGGCTTTGCAAGCATTAAAGATTCTCTTTGGATGGATGGGACTTGTGTCAGAGATGTTTGGTTTGATTTATGAGATGTGGTACTAATTACAGTTGTCCCAGGGCAGGGATCCAGAATTATTCCAGAGAATAAATGTACTGTCATGGTTTAACAAACTGAAACCAGGACATCTACTCTGTGTTTTAAACATTAGAAATGGAAATACATTCAATGCATTTTTCAAAGTAAAAACAAAAACAAACGGCCAAATGAACTAGATGAAATAGAAAACAATTAATTTAGGAAAAGGAACTAAGAAGGTTGAATGGGAAAGTCAAGACAAGGGGAGACACTCCATAAAATACTTACTGCAGTTTTCCTGGCAGTCTGGGTGACATTTTTGTAAGAAAATAAAACTAAACATCTTGAACCAAATTCTACTCCATAGTAAAACACAAGCAATTCCCAAATGAAGAAGTCTTGTATGCACCAGTCAAGGGGCAGAAGAAGCAACAAGGTTATTTGATTCTTTTGGTTTTGTGTATTTTGCTGTGGTACCTCCTACACGAGCAGAGAAGGACCCTGGCACAGTGTGAATGAACAAATGATGGAAAATCCAAAACGGCTGGCTATGGGTACACAGGATATAACATGGAATGAGAAGCAGCACATTCTTTAGCACAAAGAACAGTGTGAAAAGACATTCTTGAAGGAACTAAGGGCAAAATTTGCTACAGGTCAGCATTTGTCTTGACAGGTAAAAGCTGGCACAGGATTAGGGCAACTACGAAGCAACATTGTGAGGAAAAAAACCAAAAGACAGCATTTGAAAATGGGAATAACTCAGGCATCAACCAAGACAAAACAAGCTGAAGAGAAACATTCCAACTGCCATGGAACATGGAACTGTTCTCACAGTGTTAGAAAGCAAGGTAGAAACAAAATTTGGGATTTTTTCAGAAACTGCAAAACTAAAAAGAAAAAGCTGGACGAACATGCAGACCAAACCCACCAGGCTACAAATGGATTAGTATTAACACTATTAAACACTAAAAATACAACCAACATCCCAGCAAACACACTTGAAAAGGAGCAATAGTGAATGGGGCTGAAATAATAGCAGGAGAGGTACAGAAAGGAAAGAAAAAATACTCAATGAAACTAAAGCTGATTCGAATATGTATTTTTCTGAGCTATGTTCTAAAGAAATGGAAGGTTTGAGCCTTAACCTTGCACACACAATGGTGTTTTGTGGGAGGCAGGAGCATGGCTAGGAAGAGATGAACAGGAACATGACCAGGTTATCAACAGAACCAACCACTTTAAATTAATTTTTTTGGTTGGTTGGGTTTTGTTTGGGATTGTTTTAGGATTACAAAGAGCACGTTTTTTAGAGGAAATCTCATCATTGCTATATTCATGGCAGAATTTATTAGAACCCATACTGAACATTGCCAAAGCATTTGAGAAGATGTACTTTACCTTTGCTTTTCCTTCAAGGGCTCCAGTTCCAGCATAAATTTTCCTGACAGAATCACCATTCACAGACCACAAGGATAGGAAAACTTCCTGAAAGCCAGGAACTAACTGAGGCTTCTCAGCTAATCCTAATACCTCCAGCTGTTCTGTCAGCATCTGGAACAGGTGAAGACAGCATGAGCAAAAACCCAAACAAACCAAACCAAAAGCCAACAAACAAAAAAAAAAACCCAGTGTAAATAGATTCCTTAAAGGCACATCCTGTTTTTCAGCATATATGCATAAAACCCCACAAATCTTGGGTTTATAGGAACCATTCACCAGATCATGCTTGAAAGGCTGCATCACACGTGCAATTTGGCACCAACATTTCATTTTCCTTTGAAGGTAGATAGTAATAGAGGAGAAGAACTGGGTAGCTAATTTGTAAATGTTTTCATCTTAAAGTTCACCAAACTAAACAAAAAAGCTATTTACAAGAGCTTTTATAAGTCTTTAACACCTTTGGGTGTCTGACAGCAAGAAGAAGGAGCCTCCAATAATAGACATAAAACAGCAAAGGCAAAATTGTGAAGGTTGGGCAGGAATCCACAAAAGACACAAAAGGAAACTTGCAAAACAAAACTAACAAGAAATAGACAAAAAGTTTTAGAAATTGGGTGCTTGCTCTTATAAATTTAGGGGGCCATCTAGAGTTCAGTACCTGTTCTTTTAAGTATCTACTGTGTAACATAACCTAAGAATTTGTATATCTCATTTAATAGAATTTTAAAATTAAGTATGCAGTTCTTCAGGATTAACCATTTCCCTTCTTATTCATTAGCTTTATGCTTTTAGCTCTCATACTTCAGCTGAAATCATAATTTAATTCTCAGTGCTGAAAAATCTGGCACACCTGGTTTAAAAAAAAAGTTGTATTTATGCAGTTCTTAAAAGGCTATGAAAGGAGAAAACAGAGCTATGAAGCCAAGTCTGGCATGTAAGTACTCTACACATCAAGAGCACAGGAAGATATTCTTCTGCCACAGAAAACTTGTGCTAATGCAGCAGCCAAGCACTACATATGCCAGAATTAGAAATGTCTGCTCTACAAGCAATGCCGTGTAAGTTCTCACAGGAATTGCTCTTAAGAGGAGCATTTGAAGGAAATCCAATTCAGCAAACAGAAGGATAACGATTTTCCTAGGTTTCCAGCACCTATATTGTTTCATTTTTAGACGTGCTGAAGGCCCTCTCCCTGGCAGCCAGAACAAGGCCAGGCACTTCCTGCAAATAACATCAGTCCTTCTGCCTCTGTTTCTCCCAATCCTCCTTGCTTGCTTGCTTGCTTCAAGTGTTCTGCAAGAATAAGGCTTCTTTTCAAACAATTCAATTAGCACACCTCCAAAGAACCTCAGAGAGAAATAGCTCTCAGTTACAACAAAGATAGAAAAAAAAAAAAGAAAAGAAAGGAAAAATAAGCACAGAGACGGTTCTTGAATTTCGTTTTACTAAAAGTAACAAGAACTTGTAATATAACTAAAGCTTTGAGAGAAAGGAATCTCTCCAATGGGGCATTCAGTGCAGTCCAAACCAGGGCCCTGAACACGAACATTTACAGCTCACAGGAAATGGTGCATTCCACCTCTGAGGGAAATCTTCAGCAGGTTCTACAGGAAGATGGAAAAACATTCATTCCATGTGGCTGCCCACTAGAAAGAGGACTATCGACCATTTTCACTAAATCCTCAGGTCAAAGGCCTGAAATTAATTCTTGTCCCTTGAATGTCTCACAGAAACCTTCCTTAGAGATTTTTAGAGCCTACACAGAATGAGACAAGACATCACCAGGGTAAAATAGTTGACTCCTATTTCAGCTGTTAAGCATCACCCAGGAGACACTGAAACCACAGTGACAGAGGCAACATTCTTTATCTTCCTGCTGAGGACTGAAACACATCCCAGCATCACAACTTAATCTGAGGAAATGTACAGAAGTTATACACACAAACCTTTTTGCCTCCTTTCCATCAAAATCAAAAAATCCACACTAAAAATTTCTGGACTTGAGTTTTGAGCACACTGTGTAGTTTTTCTGCCTTTCCACCTTTAACCATCTGATGATAGTCGAAGTTCACCATTTTGACATCAGCTGAATGTTCAGATGCTTTCAAATGTCTCTGGCATTGTAAACAGAAATTAAAAAAAAAAAAGTATAAATATACCAGTACATGAATATACAGAAGTAGGAGTTAAACAAGAGATTACAAATATTTTAGAAGTTGTTTTGTTTGCTTTCTTTTAGGTAAAATGAAACAACTTTTATCACCATTGAAACCAATCACTCAGAACTGATCAATATTTCACGTGCATTTTTGTTTTCCTTGTCACAAACTTAGTTTTTTCCCTTACTACCCCAGGGGTCACCATGGCCTCTTCTGCTGTTCAAATGCTTTCACATGCAAAAGTTTGTTTCAGTGCAACACCTTTTCACCAAGAGTCACTGACACACCAGTCAGCAACAGGCACTGAGCCAACACTTCATCAGCTGCTACTGCCAAAAAGCCCACCCAAATGAGTTAGCTTGCTGTGGAGAGTGGCTCGAGGAAAACTTGCCCTAAGAGTCCCTGAAGAAGCCCTAAGTGCCCACAGGATGTTTGCTGGCAAAGCCCTGGGCATCGAGGCACGTCTGGGAACGCTCCTGTCTCTCCCCACGAGGGCTGGATCCAGCAAATATCCCAGTGAATGCCCCAAGCCATTCCATCACAATAACACAGTGGGAAGGGCAGGGAAATAACACACAGCTACTGACATGTTCTCTGCCTTCTGACACAGCTCCTCAAATGGTCACTATTTATGAACTGCAAAGTGAGGTTTTCTTTTCAACTAACCACTGGGAATTAATGAGAGCAGCCACTTAATAGTTAACACCTTCTGAACAAACATTTCCCGCTAATCATGGAGCAGCTCCATATTTAAATTGATAAACTGTATTTAAAAAACAAAATATTAAGGGATTTATCCATTAATTTCAAAAGAAATATCCTTAAATGAAACATTGCAGCATTAAACACCATAAAGTATCATGTATTTATTCATCAATTTTAGAGTGTAAAAAAGACTTATGTTTTCAGTAAGACACTAATAAGCATGAAATACGAAAATAACCTAAAATCCATTAACATTGTCTCCACTGCTGTTATAATTTTCCAGTACGGTAACCAATCTAAACAGAATCAAAGAGGAATTACGTGGAGAGCTTTTAACAATTCATTCCACATCGTGCATCTTAAGCAGTGCTGTTATGATAAATCCAATTTTAGCTCCCAGAGCACAGCATACCTGGGGGTTTGGTTTCCAAAGGCTGTGTAAAAGCTTCATTGCAAACAAGCAAACTCCAAGGATGGGCACAGTGAAAGAACTGTCATGCTCACCTGGAAAACTTTGCTGAGCGTGTGCTCTCCTTCTTTTGCCCCAAGTAAATTTACAATAAGTTGCTTGCCATGTAAATTCTTAAGAGTTTGGAAACGCCTGGTAACAGAAGAAAAATTCCACAGTCATCTTCTGGCACACAGAAAATAAACAGCAACACCTGCAACACTGAGAACTTGCAAAGCATTCGATATAAATTTTATTCACACTTTCCAACAAAGCATTGGAAGGCATAAGCAATCCCCAGAGAGTCCCCAGCTTTGCTGAATCCCACATTTGCACAGACAAAGCCTCCTGTTTGGAATAATGCATCCCTTCTCTGTGATGAAGCAGAACTTATCAGAGGTTTTCAGTGCATTAGCAAAAACTTTAGATGATTTTTACCTGTTAAAAGCGAGTGCGTTTGCCTCGAAACCCCTTGACATCCTGACACGATGGGATCCCACCTACAACACCAAGATTACATTAATTGTCTTCTTTGGAGCAAAAGGCATGTGAATGTTCCAGCAGTTATGCTGCAAAATGCTGGTATGTCTAAAGAATCTAGAGGCCCTGTAAGGCACAAACTTTTTTCACCTTTCCTGTAAAAAATGTGTCACAGCAGTAGTTGCTGATTCAGTCCCTCTTTCAAGAAAACTGTGATGAAATTCTATCACAGTAACTCTGGACTCTTATTGACTTCTTGAAAAGACTTCTCTTCAAGAACAATTCAGAAGAAAACGGTCTGTTTGGATGTCCTTAGATAAACCATTTAAAAGAGGAAAAAGTCAGAACTTCAAAGAGAAGACATGGAAAAAAGAATGGACACTCAAGTCGTGTGCAATGACACTTTTAGACTTTTAGAGAGGAGCAGGCTTGGTGAGTCACAGCAGCACCAACGTGCTCCCAAAGGATCACCTCATCCTTACAGGCAACTCTGAAGAAGAGCCCAAAGGCTACTAGGTGATGTTTAAAAGAGCATGAATAAGAATTATCTGTATAATTAAATCTATCTCCTGCTTACCTGCAGTCCTGGCTGTTCCCAAAGTAATGGAACAGATCCTTGAATCTGTATGAAAGATGACACAGACTCATCCAAATATATCACCTGTTAAGGAAAGTAAAGCATTAATAATTATTAATAAGTATTAATTATTATAAGTATTGATAATTATCACAGTGTAAGATTTTAGAATTCTTAGCCTTACCTAAACATAGAGCAAATAAAATATATTTATGTATTACATATTCCACACCACAAGCTCAAATATTGTTCCCAAGACTTCTCTTTATCCACTCTGAACAATTCCTACAAAAAGTTCTGTCACTCTCACGCTCCCTTGCAGAATTCATAACGTGCAAGGAAATACAGCTTTTATTATTTGGGCCTCAGTAACCTCTGTACTAGGAGTGAGATGCTTTAAACAACTTGGTAAAACTTTGCTGCAGGAACAGTTAAAATTAACACCACTGCACAGAAAATCACCGTGCAGCCTACTCAGAACGCTTGCACAGATTTTCTGCGTCAGAAGTCAACAAATCACAGTCCATGAAGTATCCGGGAAAGGAAAACATATGTGGAATAACACACCACAGCCATGCAGGGACATTGGCACGCCAGAAAACTAGGGCAGAGAAAGTGTAACAGGAGTGCTGTGACTGAACTCCTGAAACTGGAGGGGTACAAGCAGAGCCCTTCCTGCACAAAGTCCTCCCTCAGCCTCCTGGGCTCTGGAAGGAGTCAGCCAAACAAACACAGGAGCACCAACACAGCTGCAGGAACAACCTCTTGGGAATAGGCTACCCTGGAAAGGGAGCCAAGGAAGGCCAGCAAAGAAAGATTGAGCAGCTTCTCACATTTCTGTATCATGAGGGCAGAGCTGTGAAATCCAAGGCAGCAGAACGCCAGGGGCTTTGCAAGCTGCCTTTCAGAGGAACTGTGCTAAGTTGAACTGTGCTTTTATCTTTCCTGAGCCACGAGGCACCGGTGTTGGGTATTTGCCAGAAATCCCTTCTGCGTCTTTCCATGACTTCAGAATAGCTCAGGCCAGAAGTGGCACATGCTGCCGTGCAGCTCACGGGGCTCAGGGGAAGCACAGCCACCCACAGGGGTTCAGCACTTTCTTAAGCTACTGCAACCCAGACCCAGGCATGCCCTGACCATACGCCACATTAAAAACCAAGATCATCAAGTTACATAACCTACTTAGCCTCCTAATTTAGCATCAAAGAAACTATTCCAATATCTGCTGCTGGATGACTTGACTTGTGATTTGTTGGTTCAGAGCAAAAATGTAACCACACAGGGGCTTACACTGACTTGTCAGCCAGGCTATGAGCACTGGAGTGTAACATACCTGCTTGGTTTGAACAAAACTGGCAACGTGCCCATCGTCATTTGTTCCCCAGATGTTGAATCCCGTGCCAGCCCGTGCACAGCTTAGTGTGAAATGAGACAAGCCTGCTTGTGAGCTGCATCAATTGTCCTGATCTCCGCTCCTCCACACGTGAGGCGCCAACAGCGATCAGCACAGCTCACACCGTAGTGCTTCAGACGGAAATGCACTGACTGGTTCCTACCAAGGAGAAAACAACCACCAAATAACCTCAAAGAACTACAATTCAGCTCCAACTGTTAGGCCACCTACTGACACCTTACATTTTAAAAAAGAAAAGATTTTCCAGCTACCAGCAATACGGAAAAGTAGCAACCACCTTAATGGTAAACTAGTGGCAAAAGCAGAGGGGCAGCCTTCAACTTTTACATCTATTTTACTAATTCCGACCTTGTAAAAAGGACAGTATATTTTAAACACGGAAGCAGTCAAGACATTTGAAAGGATTGTACAAAAACGGCAACCTATTTCCAGCTTTCTTTCCCTCCCTTTTTTAAGCGAAAGCAGGGGCCCTGCTTTGGATTTAAACCCTGCCCTGCGGCGGCTGAAACATCGCAGTGTCGTAGCGGTGACGCTGCCCGGAGGCACACACGAGTGAGATGTTTAAAAAGCCCCCCAAAACCCTCACACTGCAACAAACCATAAACAACTGCGAGAGCAGCCAAGCTAAAGCCACCGTCTTCCCCACAGCAGTCACGGAACAGAATCGTGCAATGTCCCGAGCTGGAAGAGGAAACGTTCATCGCCAAGTTTTGGGTGCAGACCATGCTGGGGCCGGAGCTGTTTAATGCTCCAGATAGTTGTGATTATTTAACCAAATTACTGACCTTCCATGGATGGCGGCAGCCCGCGCATGCGTCTTCGGTAGGGACAGGAACCCCCCGCACCCCGGCCACGTGACACAGCTGCAGGTCACGTGGACCCGTCCCGGACCACGTGATTCTCTCCGGTCACGTGGCTTCCCCGTCCCAGTAACAAATATGGCGACGAAGGGAGGAAATCTCATGGCGCCACTCCCAACATGGTGGTTCGACCGCGATTTACCTGACCTTCCAAATATGGCCCGCAGCAAGGAGCAGCCAGAAGGAGGAGGCAGCTGCTGTCTCCGCTAGAAAAGTGAGAGGTGCGGAAGGATGTTGAGGGCACGGTTTGCCGGGCAGGGCATCCCAGGGAGAATTCCGGCTCCCTGCTTCCAGCTGTCCCTCAGTGCTGCATGGATCCGGGCTGAGCCAGCTGGGAGCGGGCCCGGGAGCTGCTCCTGCCCAAAGGACAACTGGCAGCAGCCTGGTGTCCTCTGCAGCGCTGGCAGCCGAGTGCGGTTTTGTATCGGATTTGTAGAAAAGCCGCTGTTCAAGCTGGGGGCGCTCTGTTCCCTAGGTGGGGAAAGTCCTTGAATTAGCCAAGCTGAGCAGCTGCTGAGAATTCCGAGCGTCGTGTCCCAGTGATTCTTGATACCATTTTTAAATAGTTACCATCGAGTTGAGACAATATCAAGTGGATTTGTTAGAGTGGCAGAAATTTTTTTTTTGCCTGGAAGTGTGTTGGGATAGGCAGCCTTCATTCGTGTCAGAATGAATCGGTCTTCCTTCTTTTCACTTTTCTTCTTTCGGGATTGCCGGGCATTGGGGAGAATATTTGGCATGAGGAAATGAAAAGCACGAGGGAAGCTCCATGTTTAGGCACCTGCAGCTTCTGAACAGATGAATTTGACTCATTATTGCAGACGTTAGCAGAAAATTTGGAACTCGAACTGACTTTAAATACAAGGGTTCTGTATTTTGTTATTGCTGTTCATTATTGTCTGAAATACTTTTGATTATATAATTTTTTATTAAATTATTTTGAATTTTTTTGTTCAGGTTATTACTAAACTCAAGATTTTAACACCACTAGATATAATGATGTCAAACTGCTTGTGATGCAGGGAATATGCACTATGATAATGGAGCATTTCAAGGTAAGATTTAAATTTCATTCAACGTTTTAAAGTTTTTGTTGATCACTTGTATGATGGTAGATTTGAGAGTTTTACACGACTTTTAAAATCTGAAGTGCAGACAGATTTTGTTCTCTGTGATTTTTCAGGTCTAATTTTAGAATGGTAGTGAATAAATGAAACGCAGCTCCCATGCTGCTACTTGCAGTACTGACGATTACAGAGACAGGTATATTGCTGCTGAAAACTGAAAGTATTATTATTGAGTAATAGCAAATCTAGGAAAGATACAGAAATTTAAAAATCAAGCGTTCTCCTTTGCTTCTCCCTTGTTCTCTCAACCTGATGAATCAGTGGGGCTGATGTATCATAGAAAAGGAAAAGAGCACTGTCAGAGAGGACAGCATTCCTTGGAATAGCAGGACTTCTCTTCTGCCCTTCACAAAGCAAGATCCCAAACTGTGTCATAACCTGTCAAAGAACCGAGGATATGCAAGCAACGATCCCAAACCTGGAATGGACTGCCCAGGGAGGTTTGGAGTCTCCGTCCCTGGAGGTGTCCATGGAACAGCTGGATGTGGCACTCGGTGCTCTGAGCTGGGTGACAAGGTGGGGATCGGTCAAGGGTTGCACTTGATGATCTCGGAGGTCTTTTCTAACCTCTAACTGGGATTTCCATATTTCAAAGGGTTGTCTGCGCTTGTCCAGCTCTAAGCCTGCTGCTCTGCCCTTGCCCGGAAGCTGCCAACACAATAAACTAGCAAAAGTCATCGCATGGTGCTCCTGGGTGTTTCTTTCTGGAATAAATGTGAAAACGTGCCTTAGGGGCACGTGTAACAAGTCCCATTATGGCTGTTCGTGGGGACAATTAAGTGGTGAAAGAGCTCATGCTGCGTGAATGAACAAGTGAAATAAAGAAGAATTCCTCTTGGCACTTTGGATAAGAAATTGTGAAGGTAGCTGTAGCAAATTCCTTCTTCCCGTTGCTAGGGAATCTCAGGAGAAGGAGTGCTGGGGGATTCATTGCAGGCTGTATTATGGAGTTTTAAAATCTATTGGGGAGAAAAAGCACTGCCCAGAGCCCCTTAAGGCTTGGCCTTGCTCTTGGCGCTCTTTCCCAAACTTAGCGATCCTGCCATCAGACCGGAGGGTATCCAGTGGTGATTCCATCACGGAGCTCGGTGCCGCCGGGGCTGTTCGGTTTCGGGGAGGTTTGAGAGCTCCGCGCTGCCGGGGCCGGCAGGGGAGCACGGAGCGCTCGGGCTCCGCCCCGGGCCCGTCATCCGGCGGCGCCGGGGCTGTCCCGTTGCCCGGTGACCATGTCGGAGCGGCGGGCGCGGGGGCCGCTGCAGAGGGTGCAGCGCCGGAGCCGGGAACTGCAGGGGCAGGTACCGGGGCCGGTACCGGGGCCGAACCGGGGATGCACCAGGGCCGGTACCGGGGTCCTACCGGGGATGTACGAGGGCCGGTACCGGGGTTTTCTCGCCCCCCCAGCCCCTGACCCCCCGTGCCCTGTTGCAGGTGGAGGCGCTGCGGGCGGAGAGCGCGGCCGCGACCCCTGGGCAGCGGGAGGAGCTTTGGCTGAGGTGAGAGGGATCCCGACCCCATCCCTCGATCCCACCGCCCGGGCCCTGCCCTCACCCTCCTCTTCTTGTACCCTCAGTAGGGTTCGTTCCCTCTGTGCCTTTCCTCTCCTAATTGTACACCCTCCTCCCAGCCCCTTCTCTCTCCTCTTTTCCAGGCTGGCTCTTTCCCAGCCCTCTGGGGCTGAGATCAGTCTGGAGAAGGGAAGATTTTACCAATCCATATAAATATCTCCAAGGCAGGTGCCAAGGGGATGGTGCCAGGCTCTTTCTGGTGGTACCCAGCAACGGGATGAGGAACAATGGCCGTAAATTAAAACACAAGATCCACTTCAACATGAGGGTGGGAGAGAGCTGGAAGAGCTGCCCAGGGAAGAGTGTGAAGGGAGATCTCCCTCTCTGGAAACATCCCAAACCCACCTGGATGCATTCCTGTGTCTCCTGCTCTGGGTGATCCTGCCTGAGCAGTGGGGTTGGACTGGATGAGTTCCAGACGTCCATTCCAATCCCAGCTCTTCTGGGATTCTGTCAAATGCTGCTGTTTGGACTTGGAATTCTCAGCCTGAAGGGATACACAGCACATAAAATGTTACCTTTCAGTCAGCAGGTGTGGTTTGGGTCAGAATTTTAAGAAAATATCGCTTGCCTGTCTTGCTTCCAATGCAGGTGTACACAGCTGAAGAAATTGGTGGAGGAGAATACAAATGCTCTCCATGCTTTGAAAAAGGTAAGTATGGAGATTAATTTGTGGTTTTCTCCAAAATTCACCGTGGGAAGTGGTTAAAGAAAATCAATGTTCCATTTTAGATGCCTCAGGACAAGAGCAATACCCCGCACTGCACAATCCCTGCTTGTTATCTCTCTAATTTATATTTTTTTAATATCCATTTATATAATGTAAAAGCTCACTTTAATGCTTTATTTTGTCCAAGTCCCAGGTGAAAACTTAACATAGAATTTCACCTTGGCAGAGTGAAAGGGTAAGAAAATTGTCACTAAAGAGGGAGTGATAGCAGCCCCAAGAAGGGAAAAGCTTGTAAGGCATGTCTGGAAAACTTAATTTATAGAGGAACTTTGATTCTTTGAGCAATTTATTGGGGAATTCTGATTCTTTGGGGCATTTGTTGGGTTCTCTGTCAGGCTGATGAGCCGGCGCCGGTGGGGAATTACAGCCAGAGGAAGGAAGAGGAAGAAAAGCTGCTGCTAAAACTCTCCCAGCAGCTGCAGAAACTCCTTCTTGTCCTGGATCAGGATAATGTGACAAAAAATTCTGCAGGGTGAGTAGCTTAAACATACAAAATGCAACCTGTTTTTTTAAAGGATGGCTGGAACTGACTTTGAAAAATCATTATCTCACCCCCTTAATTAGCTGGAAAATAACAGAAGGATAAAAAAAAGAAGTGCTCAGGAGAGAAGTCATTGATGACTTGCTGGGATTTTCTCAGGGTGCTGGATAATGGCTAGAGTATAAGATTTGGAGGAGTTTCTTTAGGACAGAGAGCAAAACACAGGAATGAAAATGCTGTATCTGAATAATAATGGTGGAAATTATACTAAAAAATAGTTTGGTTTGTTTTGGGTAGGGATGAGGCACACCAGAAAGGTCCTCATGCAGAAGAAGGAAATGAAGAAGAGGAGGAAAGTGAAGATGAAGAAAGTGAGGAGGAAGACACTGAAGAAGATGATGATGATGATGATGAGGAGAAGTTGTTGGATGATCCAAATGTCAGAGAATGTGTTGCTGTTGGAAACTTTGATGCCCAGCAGGAAGGGGATCTGACATTTGTGGTAAATATCTCTCTGTAAAGGGTTTGTGCTGCAGATCCCTTTGAGTTAAGCAGTAACTATAAGGAAATCCTATGCTTTTGGGATTCAGCCAGTTGTGGGATTTGGGGAGAAACTGGAGTTGGATCCTTTTTCATTTAAACATTTGGGTTTTTTGTCTCTGTCTCTTCCTCCAATGCCAAAGAAAGGTGAAATCCTGCTCATACATGACAAGAAGGCAGATGGCTGGTGGGTAGCTGAAAATTCCAAGGGGGAGAGAGGCCTCGTTCCCAGGACCTACCTTGCGGTTGGTGTGCTGTCCTAATCTCACCTCTGCTCTTTTATACAGATTAATGATCATATATCTGCACAAAATGGGTCCCAATGCAGTGTGTTGTTTGGAAATAAAGCCCTTTATTTGGAAATAACTACATGTTTTTATCCATGGGGATGGAGATATCCATCGAAAGCAGCATTTCTGTGTCTTGTGAAGTGGTGGCAGGGAAGTTTCTTGAATATAAAAGTCAGAGTCTTTGCCACTAAAGGCCAACTCTAAAGAATCCAAGCTGTTGTGAATTAATTTGGGGTTTTAATAATTTATCTGAAATGGGAGTCCATGTATATGTGGGACCATTTTCTGCATCACAGAGAGAAAAATCTCCTTTTCTAAACTTACTTATTTTATTCTAAATTTACATTAACATGGGCTGTGGTTGGAGAAGGCATTTTTAAGAACAGAACCGGGAAGAAATCAAGCCCTTTGCCATTTTAAATGTGAATCCCAGGTTCCTAAGGAAGAGGAAGAAAGCCAAGAGGAGTCAGAAGAACACATAGAAGTGGTGGATGAAACAGCAGACGGAACTGAAATTAAAAAAAGGTAAATGGAACGTCTCAGATATGGTTATGAAACTGCTGCCATTTGCAAACAGAGCAATATTTAGAAGTTAAATTTTTATTCAGGTGAGGATTTACTGGAAATCCCTGTATTTTCTTCCAGAACAGATTCCCACTGGAGTGCTGTCCGAGCCATTGCAGAGGTGGGTGCCCCTCTTACACTGCAGCTTCACCTGCCATAATCTTCTTTATTTTGTGGACAAGCTGTATCTTTTCCCAAACACTGTATCTCATATCACAGACCGCTGTTCTTAATCAACATCTCTGTTTTGGGAGTTTTTGGTAGCAAGAAATATCCCAGAAGTGCTTCAGAGGAGGTGACTGATATCCCAAGTTTCTGTCTCTAAACAGAGCTGTAAATTAGGGTGAAATTTGCTGTTAAATAGCAGGAACAGCACCATCCTTTTTTTTTTCTTTGTTTTTACTAGAATGACACTGTGGAGGTGCTGACCACCACAGGGGCAGTTCCTGCAGGATTCCGCCCATCCATGCTTTTCCAGCTCTTGCAGGAAGGTAAGGATTTCACCTGGTAGCTTTCTCACCCTGGCCACCAGCCTATTGGACCCCAATCCCTATTCCTTAATTTTAATTAATTGGCTAACTGGCTATTTTTGACCCATCAAATAATGTGTAAAAGGTTTTCTTTCCCTTAAATTTTAATTTATCAATGTGAAATCCTGACAAATTTCCTCATGATTTTAAAGAGTTTCCTCTTTGGAAGTTTGTTCCTGTTGACTTTTATATTAAAATATCTCATGGTTTGTTCGTCTTTCTGTTTAAAACTGTTTAATCTATTTTTAAAATTAAGTTATTGTGCTTCTGAGATGAAATACCTCAGAACACTCACAAATAATAAACAGTGTTCATGGCAGATAATTCCATAGTTTTGTGTAGTCAAATATTCAACTGGGCATGAATTTTGGGTGTTGTCCTATTTGGCACAATAAAGATCACTTGAAAAGTGAAGAGTTTTTAAGTTTACTCTTGTTGTAGGTGAAGAGTTTAGAGCAAGTTCCTATTTGCAACCTGAGCTTACTCCATCCCAGCTGGCTTTTAAAGACTTGGTGTGGAACTCTGAGAGAAATACTGTGAGTATTGCTGCTAAGCAGGACACAAACCTATTTAGCCTTCTTTCCTTCTGGCTGATGATTATGTCTTAATTTGCACCATTTCTGGAATATTTCTTCTGCTGGGACCTTCTGCCTGTCCCACTGAAACATCCTTGGGGCAGAGCTAAAGGCTTGTGAAGAAATCCTGCTGCTACCACGGCGCTGTGTTTGTGCCTGGGAGAATCAGTCCATAAACACAAAATGAGACCAGGTGCAGAGGGGCCCTGGAGGTTTAACCCTCCTTCTGCTGTATTTCAGATCCATCCTAGACCCACCAGAGTGTCCCTGATTGTCACTTTATGCAGCTGCAAGATGATCCCTTTCCCTGGAACCGGCGTGCAGGTCCTCAGCCGGCACGTCCGGCTCTGCCTCTTCGACGGCAGCCGGGTAAGGAGCCTGGTGCCTGCTTCCCAAAAAAAAGGACTGGACGAGGTTTGGAATTTCCAGGATCCTTCAGATTCTGCTTCTGACAGCTCCCCCAGCTGTCTCTCTCAGAGACACACACACAACCTGCCTCCCAAGCTGCTTCATTTATGCTTACACGAGTCTGGTTTGAGCCCACTGGCCCAGAAGAGTAGAATTGAATGATAAAACAGGCCAGACTGCATTGATGGCCATCGGGCATGGCCAGGCAAGCACACTCAGCCCTGCTTCCCACCCTCGGTACTCCACAGAGCACTTGATCCCTCCCTTTTCCTGCCTTTGGTTTCTCCCCCTCGTGGTAAATCAGGTGCAGCCCCAAGATGCCCCTAAGCAGTGTGAGGTGAGCCAAGGAGCTGCTCCTGGCTCGGGGTGACAGTCACACCCAGCCCCTGGGGCTCAGGGCTGTGCTGGGTGGCCCTGGGAGGGGCTGGGGCGGCAGCTCCATTTCTCTGAGTCCCTAATTTCTGGTCCCCCACCTGCCATTGTGCCTCCTTTGTGTTCCTGGTGATGAGTGTTTCCAGGGCTGGTCTCCTGGGATGGGCCTGGGTCAGATTCCTTGATCCTCTGTGAGTGTGCAGAGCAGCTTTTTATAAAAACATAACCCTGATGATCCAGCAGTTTTCCCGCAGTTGCTTTTGTTGTGTCCAGTGTTAGATCCATCTGGGATAACCTTGCATTTTCTGAAAACAGCAGGGCTTTCCAGAAAAACTTGCCTTAGCTTTTTTCCCCCCACTTTAGGTGCTGAGTAACATCCACACAGTGAGAGCTACGTGGCTGCCTAAAAATCCTCAAACTTGGACCTTTTCTCCAAGGGTAGGTGACACAGCCACTGGCTGTTTACAGCTTCTTCCTTCAGTGTCACTAAAGTGTTCCTCGTTGGCACAGCTGTGCTCCACGCAAAGATAATAAGGGGAACAAGGTTTTAACTGGAATTGGCTCTCTCCTCATTTTTATATGCAGTGGGATTGGGTCTGAGACCTTGTCTTGAGTAAGGGATGTGCTTGATGGCATTTAAAAATCAAGATTTGTTATTTTTTATCGGTACATTAACTTTGTTTTTCCCCCCTCTCTCTCTCTGTATCAGGTGATGGGCATCTTACCCAGCTTGCTTGATGGTGACACTTTTGTCAGGTCCAACTCCCTGTCTTCAGACATTGGGATATTGTTTGAGCTTGGCATCACCTACAAGTGCAATGTGAGTGTGGGGACATGCAGTGGAAATTGCTCCAAGTGCAGGTTTATAAAGGGAACCAGTTAGAGACTAGGACTAGAGAATATCCCTCATTAGGGAACAGGATTAGAGAATAGGATTACCTGGAAGGAACCTACAGGAAAGATGGAGTGAGACTTTTCACAGGGTCATGTAGTGATAGGACAAGAGGGAATGACTTCCCACTGCCAGAGGGCAGGGTCAGATGGGATATTGAGAAGGAATTCCTCCCTGGGAAGGTGGACAGGCTCTGGCACAGGGTGCCCAGGGAAGGTGTGGCTGTCCCTGGATCCCTGGAAGTGTCCAAGGCCAGGTTGGACAGGGCTTGGAGCAACCTGAGATAGTGCAAGGTGTCCCTGCCCATGGCAGGAGTGGAATGAGATGATCCTTAAAATCTCTTCCAACCAAACCATTCTGGGATTCTCTGATGGGAGAATATCCCTGATTAGAGAAGACAAGCCCCTCTGACTCATGGACATGAGTGTCCCTGTGCCAACACTGAAGTAACTTGTGCCAAAGATCCCATGCCATGGGATCACAATGGATTAGTTCTCCCTTCACTCCTGCAGTTTTCCATCTCTGTGGTTTATTTCAGGCCGATGTCCTGTACTGTTTGAAAACTAAAGTTTTAACTGTTTCAGCAGCATGGACAGTGGTTTCCAGCTCCAGTTTGCACAGATAGAGCCTGTCCATCTGAGATATGCTGCTGGAAAGCACAACAGGTAGTAAGACAATAGATGGTAAATCCAGAAAAACTACCCTCAGAGAAGTCAGACTGTGATTTTTAAACACCCAAAGGTGAAAGGAAAAGGGGCATAAGCACAACAATTTTGATGTGGTTACTGTTATTAATTGTGGTTGAGTCACTCATTCTGGGTCAGCTGATCAAATAATTTACATTTCTCTTTTTTTCCTAGTCAACAGGTGAAAGAGGAGAGCTCAGCTGTGGCTGGGCCTTTCTGAAGCTTTTTACTTCCAGTGGGATTCCTGTTCCTTCCAAGTGAGTTTGCTGCCTTTTCCTGCTCTCCCTGTATTTCCACATAGATTTTGGACATTTCAGATTTGTTTTAGACTAAGAGTAAAGCTCACCTTTCACACTTACACACTGCTGGGGCAAGGGACATCCAGACCAGTCCTTTATGATTCTGGCTTTTCCTTGCTGCATTATCCCTTTCCCATGTGAAAATTGAGAGACTGGTTCCCAAGACCTTGAGTCAGGTAGGAGTTGTTGTGAATGAATCTCACTGCTTTTGGAGTGTGAATTACATTTGCAGCTGATTTATGATTAGTGGGTCCAGTCATCTGAAAGAATAATAAAGTGTATCTACTTTTATTGTATTAAATGTAGGAAAACTTTCTGTTTATTGACAGAAATAATTCATTGTAGCTCAGACTTTCAAGACTTGTTTTTTACCAAATATTGGTGGACATATATATATATTGTGTATATGTATTCTGAATTTAGCTGGGTTACAGCACAAAAAAAATACCCACAGGACACCTCTACTGTTCTAGAAATCTCTAAATCTCTAAGTCTCATTTTTCAAATATTGTTCTACTATTTCATTAATAGTAGATTAATGAAATCTTGTAGATTAATTTAATCTGGTATTACAGATTAAACTTCATGCTTATTTCAGCAGTGACTTACTCTTGGCAGAACTGAGGTTACATTATTCTATAACAAATTTTAAATATGGAAGGTTTAAATTTTGAAGTGATAATTCCTCAAAACCATTTTAGGGAAACAAGTGCTGAATTCCATACAAGAAAAATATTTGGGTTGTGGAAAAGAAACAATGTGTTGTTAATGGCTTTTAAAATAATTGACCTCTCAATATCATTAAATTCCCAAACTTGTTGTATTCCCAATATCATACAGGCTTCAAATTTTGTCTTTATTGACAGGATGTATGAGCTGGTCCTGAGTGGTGGAACTCCCTATGAGAGAGGTGTTGAGGTTGACCCATCAATATCAAGGAGAGGTGTGGTTTCTTTTCAATATAATATAAACATAATAATGTGATTAATGCTGCATCTCCTTCAGCCTGGTTTGGGTTTATAGTGTGTTCTGTTTTTGTATGCATTTCATTATTTATCTGCTTTTGGGGAGCTGGGTGGTACCAGGCTAACTAAACTCCAAAGAGTTCTCAACCCACTGAAATGCCCATTTTTGTAATAGAGTTATTGCTGTTGTTTCAAACTGCCCATTTGAATCTGGGCTGTTTATTCCTGCAGCAGGCTCTGGGGTTTTCCAGCAGTTCATGAGCCTCAGGAAACAGCCTGTGCTTCTGGTGAAAGTGAAGTCACCAAGTGTGCACTCAAAAGACATCCTGAAGTGAGTCCTTGTGCTTCCATGAAATGAAAAAATATTCCAGATAGCCTAGAGAAACCTGCAGTGTTTGCAGTAAACATCTCAACTGCTGTCGCTTACTTTGCCAACAGTTTTCTCCCTGAAACGTTAATTGGGGGCATGTGCTACATCCATCTCCTGGTGTTTTATCGGCAAATCCTTGGAGATGCCCTCCTGAAGGACAGGATGAGCATGCAAAGCACAGGTGAGCACTGCAGGAAGATCAGGTTCATCCAGGGAATGACTCTCTCCAGAATCTCCCTTTGGTAAGAGATGTTTCTGGCACTCAGGCTCTTACCCTCTCTATTTCTATTTTTTAATTATTATTTACTTACGGACAGTAGGGAGAGGCAGAAGTTGGAGAATTCTGGTCTTGGAACTCAGTGTCTTGCCCTGATTATTCAGCAGAACTAGTTTATAGCTTTCTCCATTTTAAAACTAACTTGAAATAAGGAAAAATTACATTTCTTAACTGTACTACATATGAATTTATATAGGTGAGAACTGCCACACTTACCTGATTTGATCTTCATAATTTAGGACAGCAGACCAGGCTGATGAGCTCCCCTGGAATTAAATTGCATCCCTTTGGATTCAGACTTCACTTGAAGTCATTGAAAGGCTTTATCCCAGAAGTTGTTCTGGTAGCTGTGCAACTAAAGAAGATTTCTATTATTTCAAAATCCACCATCACTTTAGGAATAGACAACTGAAAATGTCTGTTCTACTTCCCAGAAGTCATCAGTCCGGCTCTCTTCCCCGAAATGTTTTGGCATTAATAAATGCTTCATGTTTACCAAACTTCCCATCAGCTTCAAGGTGAAGAAACTAGCGTACATTCAATATTTGAAATCACACAATAAAGGAAACACTTCAGCCAAAATCCTGCTCTCTGTCACGTGGAATCTTATCCACAGTCTCATCAATTAAAATAATGACAGGAGCAGAGTGATTTCTCATGGAAGGGACCAAAAAAAGCACCAGGACACCTGTGCAGTGGGATATGTGCTCCATTGGGAAAATTGGGAAAAGTCACTGTTCTCCTAAAATGCCACACCACACGCACCAGGCTGAGGTGGAACCCGAGTGTGTTCATCCATAACATCCAAAGCAAGCAGCACAATTGCAACTGTGTATAAAACAGACAGGTGCAGAAATGAGGGAAAACAGCCCTGGCAGGTAAATGGGGAAGGGCTCATGTTTGCTGCCATTCCCAATACACAGCACTGGCGTTTGTGTGTCTCCTCTCCTAGTTAAACTGTCTCTCAGCCACTGAGAATTGGCTGCAGTCAGAACAGGTTTTAGGGAGTTCTCCAACCTTCCCTGCTCTGGAGAACTGTGACAGCTCATTTCCCATTTGGAATAATCTGACAGGAGGTCATGAATACCTGCATGTGCCAATACTTTGAGAACCATCCTGATTCTTCCTTAGCCTTGAATGTGTTTGTTTTCTGTTTCAGACTTAATCTGTAATCCTGTTTTAGCAACTTTCCCTCAACTCCTGGACCAGCCAGACCTGATGGATGCACTTCGGGTATGTTACCTTGTCAGGATTTCCAGGCAAAATCTGAGCTTTGTTTTTGTCAAAACAAAGGACAAAGCTCTCCACAGCCTTGGTCTGATTTTACATTTCATTTTAGAATGCCTGGGCAGACAAAGAAAGAACATTGAAGAGAATTGAGAAGGTAACAAACTACAGGTTTTTCTTTTCTATATATTCAGGGTAATTCCAACTAGTTGCTCCCTGCCAGTGCAATTGCTACTTAGCTTTTCCTCTCACTGTACATCTATTTAGAAAATAGAGATACATAAATGCAGTTCTTAACATTTCTCACCCAGATTTATAACAGTAAACCAGGAGCAGGAGGAAAACTAAACTAACTTGTAACTTTTTATTTCAGTGTTGTTAGGGGAGAACCTGTTACAGGTTGGTACCCAGAGCCTTGTTCCCTGTCATGATGTGCTTCCAGCAGTCACCTGGTAAAAGCTTTCCATGGATACAAAAGGGGCTGTGTATACCTACAAAATCATCTTCTCTCCTCCAAACTCTGAGCTTCAGTCCTCCCACAATGTGCCTGGGAAAAGGGCCCCAGATTCCTCTGATCTCCCTCCCCCAGACAGTTTTAATCCCATGTTTTGGCACTTACACAGCAGGAGAACTGACCTGGTTGTCCCCAGGCTCACCCACACCTTGTCCCACCTCTTGTGCCCCAGACAGAGAGCAGCTGCAGGGAGCTGAATGAGAAAGCCCTTGGCTGTCAGAGCTGGATTTCCTGGGAGCAGCAGTGGGATGTTTCACTCCCTGTGCACGTTCCTGAACTGATGCACAAGGATGGCTCTGGGTTTTTACACAGAACAAACACCCGCTGAGTCAGAGCTGCTTCTTCAGGGCCATTCATCCAAAAGGAAAGCAGATCTGCTCACGGAATTGGCAACTCCCCGGGATCTCAGAACCATCCAGTTCTACCTGACTGGCATGTGCCCCTCCCAGGGGAGGATTGCTGCCTGCTGAATGCTCCCCCCTCTGTGGTTCCGTGGGGCTGAGATGTGAAATGCTCTCCTGGAGCTGGGATCTTCCCCATGTGTTTGAGAATTTACCAGACTGATCCTTTGTCTCTGGGTTTTCCAAGCTGATCTTTACAAGTCACACCATGCACAAAGAGGGGGACAACAGTGCCTAGGGACAGCATCTCCTCTGGCTCCAAGGAGTGGGATCAGAGCCACACTCCACTCAGGGAGTGTGCTCTTTTCCAGCAGGGAAATGAGAGGAGTTTGGGCTTCCGGGACAGGGAAGATGTGGTACTGCTTTGAGGAAATATAAATACCCCACAGCAAAAGGCTCTGGGTGCCTGTAGTTTGTGGGAAGGCTGGCAGAGTTCAGGGTGCAGGTTTGTTGATATGCTGGAGGCTTATCCGAGATAACACGTGTGTGTTTAGGAAGGTCAAATCTCTTCCCGTTGTTTTCCTGGGAACTGAGAGTGAACTGTTTGGGTTTTCTCCCGTGCACATTACTTTGGAAGAGTGCTTGGCAAACACCACGTGTTTGCACTGGAGTATTTTCAAACGCTCTTCTCTGCAGAGAGATCAAGAGTTCCTGAAGTCTGCGTTTGTCCTGGTGTACCACGACTCTGTATTCCCTCTGCTGTGTTCCACCTTCCTCCCCAGCTACAGATGGGCTGAGGAAGAGGTGGAATTGTCTCGCTGGAAGGTGATCCATGAATTCCTGAAAAGGAGCCGGGAGAAGGATGGTGCACTGGAGTACCTGCTGTCATCAGAGAACACACACAGAGCCTTTGACATCTCAGAGCTGGCCTACGATTTCTTAGGAGAAGTGAGGGAAAACAATCCTGGGGAATGAACAATTCAGGCTCTTCTAAGGACATGGTAACAATGAAATTAAATTCTTACCAAAGAGATTGTGTAGGATCTGAATTGTAAGGGATATTTTAGCACAATTAAGATGTTGAGAGAGATTAAAATTATTTTATCCGTTTATCTACTGGAAATTGTATTTTAAGTTACTAATTTTGAAGCGTTAAACAAGACTCTGATTGCCTGTTACCACCTGTTGTAGCCATGTCAGGTGGCATATTTTGCCTTTTTCTCCTCTCATGCAGCTTCCAATTAATTTCCAGGTTTGTTTTAATCAGGGTGAACAAAAGGCTCTTTGTCCCTGTCCCCCAGCAGCCTGGGAGCAGGGAAGGGGAAGAGCAGGGATCTTTAAGAATGCTGCTAAGCAAGGGCAGCCAGTTTAGGGGGAGAATCCTCTCTTTCCCAACCAGTGGCCAGCAGGTTGCTCCGTTTTTAGACTGTTTGCCTGTTCTTCTCCCCCACTCAAGAGAAGGCAGGGTCACTCCCAGGAATGTGCCTGACCCAAGACAAATAGCAGCTGGTGGGAATCCTGGGAATGCTGCATTTCCCCAGGATTATTTCCTCTGCTGATCCCTGAGTGCTTTGTGGCCACAGGCTCTGTGTGCTGCCCACTCCTAGAGGGCAATGATTAATCCACTTTCTCTTTAGTGCTGGAGCATCTGGGTGCTTCCTGCAGGGTGATGGGGACATTGCCACCGAGCCACACAGGGATTTAAGCCCAGGCCAGGCTCAGTTTTTTCTGGCAAGACTTAAAACAAGATTTTTGAAAGCCTCCACTGCATGGAGCCAAAAACCAGCTCCCACTGGAATATCTGTGAACTGGAGCCTCCAGAAATACCACAGAACACTTTCCCCCAGCCTAGGAAGGGCTCAGGCAAGAGGCATGGATTTGATCTTTGCTCTGTGTTGTGCAAGAGCTTGGCACAGAAGCCGAGTTCCTGGGGTATCACCTGTCTCACTTAGCAGATATCTCACTGGGACAGTGTCTTCCTCCTGCTGTAGCCCATTGCCTGAGTTAATTGGGTCATTCTGTCCTCTCTGGGCCACCAGGGCACCAGAATTTCATCCCACCCCTTATCTAGGAGTTCTGGGCCTAGGCAGAATGCAATGGATGAGCCAGGAGGTGCTTCTTGAATCCAAAATGCGTGTGCCAGGAGGCAGAAATTCCTGCAGCTCTCCTTTAAACTCTACTGGGCACTTGGGAGCACATTGCCAAACCCTCCTGGTGTGTTTGTAAAATTTACCTGCTAGTTTCTGAAGGTTGGATGTGCCTGGAGGGCGTGGAGGGGTCTGACATGACCACGGAGCAGAAACCTGAACAGAAAGGGGAGGAGGCACCAACAGTGGAAGCAAAAATATTTCAGGGTTGGAAGCGTGCCAAGGACAACTCTTCGCAGGAAACATTTCTGTTCCGGCAAGGTGTAGGAAGATTTTTGCTTTCCCCTCCAGCTAATGACCTCGCATTGGTGCGTGGGGTCGGGGTCCCACCGTCCCATGTCTCTGTCGCATCCAGGCTGGCAGTGGGATGCACAAAAGCCGCCGCAGCCTCTGGCGGTGCCAGGGGTTGGTCAGGTCGGGCCGGGCTGGCGGCACGGTGCCAGCTCGGGCCGGTTCCTGTGCTTACGTCCCGCGGGCGTGTCCCTTAAATCCCGCACGGGAGCGGCGCGGGGCAGGCGGGCGCCAGCGGAGTCCAGCGGAGCGGTGGCAGCGGAGGAGAGATGGCCTCGGTGGGTCCCTCTGCAGCCTCCACGCAGCCCGCCCTGCCCTCCGGACCCGCCGTCTTCAAAACCATCCCCTACGCCTTCATCCTGCCGGAGATCGTGAGTATGCCTCCATCCGCTGCCTCCCGGCACCCGCTCCTGGCTAAAATCCCCCAAAACCATCCTGAAGGCAGCATTGCTGGGAAGGGACATCTTGTCTTTGAGCTTGTGCTGAATGCACAGAGCATTCCTGACGGGGTTTTTAGGGACAGCTTGAGGACTCAGCTCCATCACAGCCTGTGTGAGGGTCACTGGCTGCTGTGGGGCTGAGAAAGGCTGATGAGCTGCCGGCTCGCCCAGGGCAGATGAGCAGCTCTTGTTATCATGTATAAATGGCTTGCAAAATCAAGGGAATTTTGCTCTCTGTATCAAGTCACAGCAGGGGTTGAAGACAATTGGGTGTCTCGTAATGTGTGATTCCATGATTCTTTCAATTGCTTCTGGGTCCAGAGGGCATCCAGTGGGACTGGCCAAGATTAGTAGCTGGTGTACTTTGTCATGGTGCACGGTTCTGGCAACCCCCACACCCCATGCTCCACAGACACAATCCCTGCCTGCTCCCTGCTGCAATCCCAGGGCTTTCACCCGCTGCAGCTGGGATGGCACAGAGCTCATCCTGATAACCTCCAGTGCCTTCTATGCTCATTAAATATTTTGGGTGGATCCAGAGCGAGCGACTTGCTCCAGGCTGGTGCGTGGAGCTGAGAGGAGACTTCCTCGTGCTGGGATTCCAAGCCCCGGAGATTCACGAGTGGGCAGGGCTGGGTTGAGGCAGCCATTCACTTTCCCCAGATAAAAGCACATTTTGTGGCTTCTCCACCGAATCCCTCGGGGTGAGACATTTCCTTGTGTGGAAGGCAGCAGCAAACCCTTCCTTTCTTGTGTGAACACTCATTTCCCATGAGTGTTCAGGGAAAGCGGTGCCAGCTTGCTTGATGTCACGCCGGGATGCTCTGGGAAAGATGCATCAGTTCTGCTGGCTGCTGTGGCCAGCCTGGGAGGGAAGTAGGGAGGAAAAGAGCTTTTCCTCATCCCACGCTCATCAGAGGCGCCTGGTCGTCCCTGGCAGGTCTGCGGGACCTGGGTGTGGATCCTTGTGGCTGCTACCTCGGTCTCCTTGCCGCTGCTGCAGGGATGGGTGATGTACGTGTCCCTCACCTCCTGCCTCATCTCCCTGCTGCTCCTCCTAGTCTACCTCCTTGGCTTCCACAAGAACAGCGAGAACTGGAAAGTGCTGGTAAGGAGGGCATTGAACACGGGGTGTTGGCAGCAGCAGTGTGGGTGCAAGACCACCACGGCTAGTGACCCGCCAGCCCTTTCCTGCTTTTGCCTCGACTGGGAAGTCCAGGAGAACTCTGCTGTGACACCACTGCTTGGGAGGGCTCGGTCCCAGCCCTATCCAGGTGCATGTCCCCCTGTGGGGCACTGACAGAGCGAGTCCTGCCTTGTTTTGCAGGACAGCTTGTACCACGGTGCCACGGCCATTCTGTACATGAGCGCCGCTGTCCTGCAGGCCAACGCCACCATCAACTCTGAGTTCGGCACCAACGCGCCACTCAACTACCAACTCAACTGTGCTGCCTCGGTGAGTGCAGAGCAGCCCGCAGGCTGCAGAGCACACAGCTCCGCCTGGTAGAGGCAGCAGCATGTGCTGAAGCCACAGCAGAGCCACCCACGGTGTGGCACTGGGCAGAGCTGCAGCTCCTCCCCTCTGTGGGTCGTGCAGCTAGTGTCAGCTTCTCAATCCACCCGTTCACTGACAGCCCGATGCGGCTGGATCATGGGAAAAGCTGAGGCTTTGCCTCTCCTTTGAGGCTGGGAGAGCACTGGGAGGAGATGGGGTTTGACTCTGCCAGCTGACCCTTCCTCTTCTTCCTCTCTCCCTGCAGTTCTTTGCCTTCCTCACGACCTTCCTGTACATCCTCCACGCCTTCAGCATCTACTACCAGTGATCCTGGCAGCACCGGATTCACCTTTGCAGGACAAGGGCTCTCCCAGTGTGAAAGACCCTGCTGTCTTCCCAAGGTGTCCCTGCCCCAGCCCTGTGCCCAGGCCACAGGAACAGCAGGTCCTTTTGCACTTCACCACAGGAGGGATTTTGCTGGGACATTTCCTGCCTTGCTTGGGGGCTATGCAAGGGGAGGGACTGGGCACAGGTCCCAAGCCTCCAACTCTGACATTCTGCCAAATATTGACACCAAGAGAAGGGACTAAAAAAAAACCAACTGTTCCTTCAGCAAACAATCTCCTTTCTTATGTAATTTGCCTTTCTCTGGTTCAGCTCCATCCCTCCCCAACACAAATTCATTACAATGACACAAGATTGTGTTCCTTGACTTTCAGATGGTTTCATTTGGTAAATGCTGTATTTGGAATAAAGTGTCAACTGACAGCTTGTGACTACTCTGTAAGCTGTGTTCACTGAACAAGCTCATTTTACTCCCTAAGAGTTAGAAAAGAAACAGAAAATATTCGCTTGCAAAGCTACAACAAATTCTAAACAAGTAAACCATAGAACTCATAGGAAATTTCCTAGATGTAGTATAAACTACAGTGTGAAAAGAATGATTACAACAGACATTTACAGCAGCTCTCCTCCCCTGTCTCCTGCTTCCCATTACAAAACCTGCAGCTGCGGAGTCCGGGCACGGAGCACTGGTGTTACTGGTGTCCCTCAGCATGACTGGAAGGAGCTTCTTGCTCCAGGGAATCCTGCAGGTCTGGGATAGAGCTGGCTCGCAGCACATCCAGGTAGAGCAGGTAGTCCTGCAGGCAGGCTGGCAGCGGCAGGTCCCGCACGGCGCGCTCCGAGCGCAGCCGCTCGCTCCCCAGCAGGGACCGGATCTCCAGGCGGCACAGGTGGGACAGGGGAGGGAGGGAGGCTGGAAAAGGGAACCTCAAGTCAAACACACAGCAGCTCTCACTACACAAATATATTTGCTAATAAAAAAGGAAATAAAGAGAGAAACTCGTCTCAATTTCCCCAAATAACCCCCTTTTTTTTAAAAACTCCAAAAACAGCCTCATTAGCTTAAACCACCCTAAAGGAAGTATTAAATGACATTATCACTTGGACAACTCAGAAATTATTACAGACCCTTTTAAAGAAGAATTTTCTTTGAAAGGAATCATTAACAAAGACACCTAAGTGCAGTTTTTCAGTCACATAACACATGACCTGCTTTTCTGAAGGCTGAACTATCAAAATTACTGCACAACCAAATGAATCTTTTTGGCTGGTCACATTTGGTTGTCTTTGATTTTTATGGTTTGTATTTAATTACTGTTCAATGCTTACAAAACAGGACAGATTCCTCATTGGAAATACAAATCAAATTAGAAAAATAAAACATAACTAAATCGTATTGTCATCTTCTCCTAAATCTTCCCACCTACAGCCTGGAGGCTGGATACATGGAGACATTATTTTCCTGCCTGTATTCCTTACCAAAATGGCTCTTGGAATTCCAAGTGAACTTCTCCTTGTATTGGGAAAAGTGTTGCTCCACAATTGGAGGAAGTCTGCTCCAATTCATGAACTCCAGGACGAAATTAAGGACGTCCTCACCCATGGAGAAAATCCTGCGTAACAAAGACTCCCCTAAAATACCTTCTAAAAGTATTTGTAGATGACAGAATAAAAGACCAAAAAGCATCACATGTGATACACAAGGACAGTGAGATTCATTCAGTCACTGGGTTGCAGACTTGTAGTGTGTTTACTACAGCTTGCAGAAAATACAAACATTTTGTAACTCTTTAAGTTTAATCCTGAAGTGCCCAATTAAATATAAAACATCACCAAGCCGTTATTTATTATGTGGAAAAACTTCAATAATAATAATAATAAAAAAATCTAACTGGAATTTTTGCCATATTGTGTTAAACAAAACAGTCTCAAACTGCATCCGTTTCCTCTCCTCCCAGACTTGGCCCAGCTTCACTTCCCATTTGTTTCCCATCCCTCCTGACCTATTTCTCCCATTGGAATTTCTTCTTTCCACGGCTCTCTTAAAGTATTACAGGCACAATTCGCAGCTAAATTTGTGGGTTAATTAGAGATGTTCAATATAAGTTTGGGAAGCGATGCCTTATTGCTACCCTGGAGGAAAGCAATTCCCAGTCTGGCTTTCTTCCTAAACAAAACTGTTGTACTGCCTCCAGACGTGACTCTGAATGATTTATTTCAGACTTTCCACAACCCCTCCTGTTCCTGATGGTGGCAACTGATTATCAAGGGCCATCCTGTGAAAGCCCTCATTCAGTAGCAGCTTCGCACATCAGCATGGGATGTTTAAGTAAATAGAGACAAGGCTCCCTTGCTTACCAGAACCTGCACATGAAATTCACGGGGTTGAAGCCAGCCAGGAGCAGGCAGGGCAGCCATTCTTTGTATTCCTTCTCCACCATGCTGCTGTAGTGGATGAAGTCTCTTAATTCCTCCCCCGAGGGCAGGGAACAGCCCAGCCTCAGGAAGCGCCGGAACAGAGCAAACTTCTTATGGCACAGGCAGTGTGCCAGGTTAATCCCACGCAGGGTGATCCCATATTTCAGCAGAACATCGATGAACTGATAATACCTGTGAGCAGCAGAAGGAACAGGGCATCCCATGAGCTTTCCCTCAGAAAACACCTAGCACTTTTTACATCTGCCTGCAATAAAGCATTTTAAAATGCTTTTATTAAAATCCTTTTATCGTCACCCACTGCAACAAGGTAATAGGATAAGGACTGAGACTAAGACTGGTGCTGCCTTTTAGGATTAGATGGCACATCACCCCATAGAAGTGGTGACGTGTTACCTGCCTCGTTCACAGAGCAATCACCTGCTCTGCACCCCTTCCTAAATTATTTATTATTATAAAGCAACACCAGGACAGAAAGGGAAAAATGGTGTCCAAGGATTTTTAAAAGCAACTTCCCAGGAGCAGGCCACAAACTAAACTCACTACCAACAAACCTCATTAATTTAAATGGCAGCATCTAGGCCACAAATAAATTTCAATCCACATACAAAGAAATCATCTGTTAAAATCTGAGAGGATTCAAAAGCCGTTTTTGAAGATGTTTCCCTTGGTGCAGCACATGAGTCACATTCCAGGACTCCACATTAATATTCCCAAGGAGGAATATTAATAAGGAGTGTCTGCAAAGGGGAAACACACTAGAATTCTGGAAAAATATTAGATGATAGGCAGCAGATGAGGGAGGAAGGCGGGAAACTACACATTTAAAGTTAATTAAAGCAAACATGATTATGAATAACCTCAAAAGAGGAGAGGTTTGCTTACTGCTTTTGGAAGACCATGCACATGGGGGACCTGCAGTCGAAGTCCAGGCACTCCTGAGCATCTGGGCTGAAGCCCTGTCCGAGCAGCATTTCCAGGCACTCCCTGTCCCCGCCGTACAGCGCCGAGTACACCGGGCTCACTTTGCCCTTGCCCTTGTCACAGACCCGGTCAGTGATTGGAATCAGCAGCTCCAGTATCCTGCAGGTATTTAAAACCACTCTTTTCTGATCTTATGCAATGATTAATCTAAAACACACAGTCATCAGTCATTCTTCCACAGGGTTCTTGCAGATTTTGAAGAAAATTTTTCACTCTTGAATTTGCAGTTTTGTCATTCCATACACAGACCTCTGGCAAACATTGTGCTTTGGGATGGATTTGGGCTGGAAAGAAGTATGTTAAACCAAACCAGGGACAGCTACTTCCTACTACCCAATGATTCTTTTTATAGTAACAGAACACCACTACATTAAATCCCAACCCCAAGGAAGTTCGGAAGCAAACTGGAAATATGAGCTGCAAATGAAATTAATTCTTAGTTCTGTGAAACAGAAAAATCATTCTGTTTACAGCTCACACCCCAGGCCACATTACATTAGTGACAAACACCAGTTCCTTTGCTACTGGAACTTACTGGTGCTGCGTAAGAGTTGCCAGTGATGTATCATCATTTATGTATTTAAGTGCTGTCCATGTGTGAATCATGGAGTTTCCTGAGAGATCCTTCTCCCCAGTAGTCTACTCCCAAAACTTCTTTCCACTCTTGGCTCTCTGCCGTGGAACTGACTTGTATTTCTGAAATTGGACAAAGCTATAAATGTATCTCTGGAAAGATTAAAGAAACGATTTTGTGGCTTTGATTTTTCTGGCTGGTCCAGCTAATTCAATATTTGCACGTAATTACTTCTGCTGCTTAATAGAGTATTCTAATTAGCAGCTGTTCAAGTCGTGTATAATGCAGTTATTTGTATTTTTAAATGGAAAAGTAATATGGCCACAGAGGGAATTGAGATCTGCTTCAGCACTGTGGAAAACCCTCTAAATTCATTAGGCTATGGATCATACCCAGGTTAGATGCTGAATTAAAAATCATACAATCACAGACTGGTTGGGGTTGGAAGGGACTTTAAAGGTGATCCAGTTTCACTCCCTGCCATGGGTAAGGACATTTCCACTATCCCAGGTTGCTCCAAGCCCCGTCCAACCCAGTCTGGAATACTTAAAGGGATAGGGCAGCCACAGCTTCTCTGGAAAACCTGTGCCAGGGCCTCTCTACCCTCACAGGGAAGGATTTTTCCCTAATATTTCATCTAAACCTACTCCCTGTCAATGTGGAAGAAACCACTAAGAGACATTTTAAATACAAAAACAATCAGAATCTCTGAACTGCAGATCAGTTTGAATTTTTCTCCCTTTTAGGGCTGAACTTCCTCCTTTGAGGATCAGACTTGTGTGCCCAGGACCTTCTGCAACCACCTACTTTGCATGGCCCATCTCAGCTGCTGCATGAATGGGTAACTGCCAGTTATCCTCATTGCAGTAGAGGTTTGGGTCTGCCCCTGCAGCCAGCAGCATCTTCACACAGTACAGGTGTCCCTCCTGTGCAGCAATCAGCAGGGGGGTGGCCCTGTCCTTGGCCTGGCAGTTGACATCTGCACCTGACACAAAACAAAACATCATTTTTCACGGGGTGGCTTCAAACTCAGCAAGTTCAAACCTCTAACATTCGACCTGCAAGAGCAGAGCGAAAACTGCGTTTAGTGGGAGCTGATGGAAGCACAGCAAGGGAAATGAAGGCTGGTGGTTACCGTGGGACAGAAGCAGCTGCAGACTCTCCAGCTGACCATACTGAGCAGCCACAAACAGGGGGGTAATTCCAAAGTCATCCTGACAGTCCTTGCTGGCCCCTTTCTCCAGGAGCATTTGCATTATGTCAGTGGAACCCTGAAATAAATGTTTTTATTCTTAAACCAGCAGGAAAGAGAGGAAATGGCATAACCTGTTTTTCCCTACGTCTTCCAGAAATAATAAAACCCACAATATATTCAATATTCTGAAGATGCACTTAAAATTAATGGTAAAAGAAATTAAGCAAGTTCAGATTTATCACTTTAGCTCATTTATGTGATAAACTCGTTTGTGTGTGTTAGAACCATTAAGCCAACATATTTCTAAGCACAAGCTTATGACTGCTAGGGTAGGTTAGGAAAAAATTACCTGACAAAAATCCAGTAATTATTAAATAAAATTATCCCCCAGAATACACCAAAATTACAGGATGTGCTCATAGGTTACCTGAAAGGAAGCTTGGTGCAAAGAATTCCATCCAGACCAAGAATGAGAACCTTCAACATTTGCTCCATGGTGGAGCAGAAACTTGACAACCTCTGGGTGTCTATTTTCAACAGCTTCCATGGAACAGTAATAATAATAAAAAAAAAAGAAAAGAAAAATTTTTAAAAATCTTATTGACGAGTTTTAAAAAGAAATAATATAAATATTTGGGGTTTAAAACTCTAAAGCTCTCACTGCCAACTTCCTGAAACAATAATCATAATTCCTTTGAACTTGCCCATTATATTCTTATTTGCCTTTTATTTTTATATTCCCAAAACAGTGTTGGAGGATGGAAATGATGCCAAGATTCCCCCAAACTTGGAAAAGACTTGGAAATAAAGGTAACATGGCACCCATGATGTCTGGATACAGAGGCAAGTAAATCAATAAATGTATTTAATCAGATGATTTAGACCCTAGGGATTGACTGTAACAGAGGTTTTAAGCAATTAGGTCAAACATAAATCATAGAAAAAATGCTAAAATAATGGACCTTAATTGCCAAACCAGGAATGTCAAAAACAAGTCTTTTTACATAAGAATTAGGGAGGAATTACAAAAATCAAAAAGGCTTTGAAACAGCCTCATACAGACACAATCCTCCACAAATTTTTCTGTGCTTGATGCAGAAAACCAGCTTGCTTTCATAATTTTGTTTGTAAACACTGCCTGAAGCAGATTTACCCACAAACAAAAGGTTATTGCCACACCCACTCCATCTCTGAGTCTAAATCCTGGTATTTAAGGCTACAAAAGGATGCAACGTGGCAGGCAAGGAAGATTTAAACCCTGGTGAGTTTAAACTCGGAGAAACTTGAGTTTTAAGTGGTGAGCTCAAACCGTGGGACTGGAGGGAAGTTTGTGTCACCTAGGAAGAGCGGGGTGGTGGCGGATTCGGTGGTGACGTTGTCGAGGTCAGCCCCAGCTTCCAGGAGAACTCGGAGACATTCCACGGAGCCGTGACGGGCCGAGAGGTGCAGAGCACACAGCCCCTCGAACGTCCTCGAGCGGATGTAGTCCTGAGCTCGAGCTGCAGAGGGGCATTATCAGGGGGAAAGGGGGTATTTGGCAGTGAATTACAAAATAGAGTCATTTTAAGAAAATAAAGGTTATTTGAGTTACCCCGAGAGGAATGAGGGATTTGTCTTTACAAACAGGCTGTGGGTCTGCTGGTAGATAAGGCTAGCACTGAGAGATAAAAGAAACAATGGGATTGATTCCACTGATTGACGAATGGAAAAAAGATATTTGCCTTTACGAACAAAGTGTAGGTTTGCTGATCGATGAAACTGGATATTGAAAGATGAAAGAAGCAATGGGGAACAGCCATGAATTCTGTAAGAATTAAAAATTAAAAGGGAGGGTTATACATTAGAAGGGAATCTTAGGTATCAGTCATTCTGGGAAATCTGTGCCTCTCAAGTACCTCAGCCAATGGGGAAAGAGAGAGGGAAATGTGGATGGGAAATTAGGATAAAAAGGAGGCTGTGTCTTCCAAAACTTTGAGAGATCCCAGGGGAATGTCCCATGGCCTCTCCCTTTATTCAAATAAAGAAAAAGGACTCCTCTGTCTCCTTTCGGGACACAAACCTCTGGTGTATGTGGATTCATTTTCCTGACACCCCCAAACAATGACAGGATAAATCTATGTAACTCGTATTTTCTATGACAGGGTAATTCAGCAGAAAAAGCCACGCTATTTCCCACGAGGTTTTTCCTCACCTGTGTCAATGAGCAGCTTCAGGCACTCACTGGAATTGTGAGCTGCTGCTTCGTGGATGGGCAGCCACCTCCTGTTATCGGGGACATCGATGCTGTACCCGCGATCAATCAATTCCCTCAGGATTTCGACGTTCCCTTCTCTGGCTGCAAGGCCCACGGCCGAGCACCGGTCGGAATAGGCTTCTGTGAAATCCATCCCTGGCATGGAACTCTGCAGGAGGAGGAAAAGAAAAAAAAAAAAGAGATGTGTGATGGTACAATATAGATACGAGGAGGATTTTATTTGGTTTGGTTTCGTGAAAAACAAGGTTTATTTTTTTAGGAAAATTTTAAGAAGTTTAATAAAAAACAATAGTAGACAAATAACAGCTGGGTTCTTGGTTCTTACTATTCTTAATTTTAAAATATTTTTTAAATTACATTAGTCTGTTGTATATTTATAAGCTATTGTGCACATTTAAACTTTTTTATAAGCTAGTTTACATATTTTAGCAACTGTGTAGCATGGGCACTTTTTGGGCCCGCCTTTTTAGAGCATCCGTGTTTTTAGTCTGTTCTTATTATTACTTTTAGTTTGGGCTCTGGTCTACAATTTTTTTAGACAGCAGGTGCTGATAGTTGGCATATTAGTAGCAGGGTTTTTATTATATGTTTATTGGATGTTGTTTTAACTAAACAGGCAGCTTAATTACAAGCATATCTATATATTAGCTATCCCACTACCACGTTTCAGCTTTGTTAATAGCAGAAAAAAAATTATATTGTTTACAGCAAAGATATTTCAACATTATACATATAGTATTTATATTAATATTTGCAAAAAAAACAATTTTATAATATGTATTTATAACAGTTTGTAGGGTTTGATGGTGGTTTGAGAGGGCTAGGGGGAAGTGGTTGCTTGGGGTGGCTTGGGGCAGGTCGTTCACGGATTTTGGGGGATGGTTGTTTTGGAGGTGGGTGTTTGGAAGGTGTTTGGGAATTTAAGGGGGGGTTGAGTTGGAGGATCCGTTGCCTGGAAAGGCTGACCTGGAACAGAGCAAAAGGAATAAACCAGGTATTTAATGAAAGGAGACACCTTGGGCAGTGCAAGAGCCTGGCAGAGGCTACACTCCAATCTAATCCAAGATTAATCTCAGTCACGAGTTTTTACACTTTTATAAAATTTGATTTATCTATATATTGGGGTCAATTATCCAACTACAACCCCAGGCTATAAAGTCTCAGCCCCCTCTCCCTCACTGTTGTTTCTGCTTTTTGAGTACCAGTTGTCCTTGATTCTCTAGCTAAAAATTGAATTGTTTTGTTTAACTACCCTGTGATGAGAATTTACTGTGAAAAACTAAGTTTAATTTTTTGGTAGATTTTAAAAAGTTTAATAAAAGACAATGAGAGACAGTAATCAAAAGGTTACAACGGCTGGATGCTTGGCATCTAGCCAAGGGCAGGTTTAAATTAGAGAAGACTTTGTTAAATGCACTAACTTGCTGTATATTTATAGACCTTTCTGCATAATTCAAAATCATCCCCCCCCAGCCTGTAAATCAGCATTTTTACTTTCTTTTTTTCTTGTGGCTCTTTCTTGTTGGTGTATTCCTTGATAACAGAGATTAATAATTTTTGTTTTGTTTTGTTTTAGTTTTGGTGTTTGTCACCCGCCTTCATTCAGATAGGATAATCTAAGAATGTGAAGAATTTTTTTATTATTTTTTTTTACCAGTCTCTGAGTTAGTTACACGAACAAAAACTTTTTACATCATTATGTTATAGTCCAAGAAAAATATATTTATCACACTACTATTTTTAAGTTTTGTTAATAGTAAAACTAAAAGATACTATATTCATTTAGCAAAGTTTTCTAACATTATACATACAGCATTCATTTTAATATTTGCGAAGAGCCAATAATATAATATGCACTTATTACTAACACCTAATATGAAGTTTTGGAGTTACACACTAAGCAGCAGAGATTCTGAAAAACAAAAAAGCTAAAACCCAAGGCACCAGAGGGACTGTCGTTTATGGGTTTGCGGGGTGATTCCTTGTGGGCTTCGAGGGCAGGGGCGGCTGTGAGGATTTTGGGGCGAGCTGATTTTCGGGGGGGATGTCTGCAGGACGTGATGCGGGGGCTGGGCGGGCGCTGGGAGGAGATGCTTTGTGGTTTTTGGGAGGTTGGTGAGGCCGGGCCGATGAACGGCTCCCCGGCAGCGCCGCTCCCCGCCACGCTCCGCGGCCGCCCCGGGGCCGCCCCGCGGCTCTGCGCAGGCCCCGCCGGGCCGGGCCGGGCCGGGCCGCCATGTGGGTGTTCGGCTACGGCTCCCTCATCTGGAAGGTGGATTTCCCCTACCAGGAGAAGCTGGTGGGGCGAATCCGCGGCTACAGCCGGCGCTTCTGGCAGGGCAGCACCGACCACCGCGGCGTGCCGGGCAAGGTGAGCCGGGGCCGGGGGGAGCGCGGCCGCCGCGTCGGGCCCGGGCCCTGCCCCTGCCCCGGAGCTGCCCGCAAGGGCTGCGAGAAAGCCGCGAACAACGCCACGAGCTTCAAACGGGGCTCAGAAATGCCCGCATTTGGCATTTCTAGGGCGTTAAAAAAACCCTCGGTGAGGGACGGGTGTGCACAGGGAATGAGAAAATCCAGAATCACTAAATAACCCCCCCCCCCCGCTGTATTTTAACTGAAAAAGGTGAAAATTCATGGATTAGGAAATACCTAAAAGTTCTAAAATTCTTCACAGTTTGGAAAAGGAGAGAAAAACCCTCATCGAGAAAAAGAAACTGAAATTCCAAGTGAGCATTCCCAATCTCATATGTTTTTAAGCCACGGGGGTAGTTAATGAAAAGGTATAACCTGCGCCCAGGTAAATTCCACTGTAAACCTGCTTGAAAAGAGTAAAAGCATCGAGATTTTTTAAAATAACACCGCTTGCCTTGTGGAAGGCTTCATCCACATGTAAATAACACTCGTTAGAACTTCAAACACCGTGAAATAACTTGCACGGAGCTCAAAGATAACACAGCTTGAGCCACCACTGACACAGGTTAAAGAACAGCGACGAGGAAAAAAACAGTTCTTACAAATATACAGCAAATTACATGTTAGCTGTATTTTAAAAATCTTTCCAGAGGGTTATTCCCAGTAGTACAAAGAGTAATTAATTCCTCTGATCGATAAGTGTTCAGTGATTTGTTTCTTAATGTTTGTTTTGGGTAATCCCAGGCAAGACAAGGACTCAGGAAAGCAATTAACGAAATACCCTGCCCTTCCTTAGGCAAACACAGCCTTCGTGAAGTTCTCCTCAGTACTGCCCTTCATATTAAATCGAATTAGATTTAAATGAAATTCAATCAATTTAGGCTACAGTTACAGGCACTCCTAGCAAGGACAGGAAAGTTGATTTCCACCACAGAATGTCTCTTTAATCCGTAATTCACAAAAATCTTTGTGGCTCACTGCGAGTGCACAAGTCAGAGAACTACCAATGGCTATGGAAAAAAACCATTCCACAAGGAACACCGAAGTTATATTTAATGTATCATGGGAAGAGACTCGTTGCTCCTCAGGAAGTAGGAATCATTTAGTGTTCACGTAGCTTTGTTGCTTTATTTTATCAGTCAGATCTGGAATAAATGGCTCATGCTGGGAGAGAACTTTTGATGTCAGTGAACTGATGTGATGCCAAAAGCAGCAATTTTAAACTGTTCAACATAGGGTTTTATGATTTAAAAGCTTTATACAATAAAGTGCAACTATTTTATTTTCAGTATTTACAAACTGGCTTCTTACTTTTTCCTACAAGAATTAACTTGCTGGGGGAAAAAAGCCATTTGCAAGGTATTCTCCCTCCATCCAGTGAGGCTCCAAGAGCTCCTTGAGGATAATTTTACATCAGTGAAACTCTTAATTAATTATCACTGTTATTGGATTGTCAATTGTCACTGTTTTGAACTGCAGCAGAGTCTGGACAGCATGTCTAAAGCAAGGACATTCATACCCTCCCCCTTTCTGGCTGCCTTTAATTTTTGTGCCACAGGCACTGTCCATCCCAGAATTTAACATTTTGTTTATTTTATCTAGTACACACCAAAAGCTACTCTCTGAAAATACTTACACTGGATCTGGACCTTACTGGAATTGTGCTGGATTAGTTCTCTGAGTGTTTCATTCCTGCCCCTTGTTTTTTTCTGATTTTGGTTTGGTTTTGCTCATGATTTAAAGCTTCTGACTGAATGATAATTTCTTCTTTTAAATTTTAGCCTGGAAGAGTTGTGACCCTGGTTGAAGATGCTGAGGTACAGTACTGTTATACAGAATGTCCTGTTGCATTTCCACTCATTAATTTTTGCTTTTCTACAATTATCTTTAGGGAAAAGTTCTCTCAGTGTTTCCCAGAGTTACACCAATGGTGTAAATCTCGATTGTTTCAGATAATCAATATAAAGTAGTAAGAAGTAGTTTGGGTCTATTATTACCACAGAGATACTTTAAAGTATATTCTGGAATAGTCACTTTGCCTATACAGTTGTGAGATGCAGAATTTGATATAAAGATATATCAAATGTATGTGATTTGATATCAACACTGAATGATAAATGTAATTGCTTTAAGTTCAGCTTCACAAGGTTTAACCAGAATGTGAAGGTATCTCAGCACACCACACCAGTTCAGGTGTGTAACAGGACCCTCAGGTCCTTGCCAAACTGTCACTAAACAAAAGGCTCCTGATCAAAATTCCTTCAAATTCAGCATTATTTAAATCTGTCATTTTCAGACATAAATTTTACGAGGTCAGGGAGAAACTCTGTGTCCTTAGTGGCCTGTAACTGTGGCACATTAGGAATTTATTAAATCATGGCAAATATAAATACATAGATTTGTTCTTGCTGTGTGGGATTAAGGCTTTGGTCACTACCAAAGGGGCTATTTGCTACTCTAAAAGTTAACAAAACAAGAAATTGCTCTGTTAGAAAAACCTCAGCATTAGCAGAAAGAGGACGATCAATTTGCGTTACCAGTTTTCACTGGTAATTTCACAGTTTCACAGTTATCAGTTTTCACTGATAATTGCCTGAATAAAGCAACCATTTTATTTTGGGATTCTTACAAACAACGCAAAAAGCAGCAGGAGGGCAGAAAAGTCAGGTTTTGCACCTGAATGCACCGATTCCCTTTCATCCTTTTAACCAACTCTCCCCGGCCAATTCAGGGCTGCGTGTGGGGCGTCGCCTACAGACTGCCGGCTGGGAAGGAAGGAGAAGTGAAGGCCTACCTGGATTTCCGGGAGAAGGGAGGCTACAGGACCACCACGGTGATCTTCTACCCCAAGGACACGTCGGTGCAGCCCTTCGACGTGCTGCTGTACATCGGCACCTGCGACAACCCCAACTACCTGGGCCCCGCGCCGCTGGAGGACATCGCGCGCCAGATCCTGGGCGCCGCCGGGCCCAGCGGCAGGAACACGGAATATCTCTTTGAGCTGGCCAACTCCGTCAGGAACCTGGTGCCAGAGGATGTGGATGAGCACCTCTTCTCCCTAGAGACGCTGGTCAAGGAGCTCCTGAGCAAGCACCAAAATCTCAACTGTCTATAAAGTAACCCTGACAAGCTGGCTCTGCCTTGGGAGGAGAGGTTTTGTTGGGGGTGTGACTATGGGAGGAATGCTCCTCTGATTAATACTGAGTATCTTAATTAATGCTGCATTCAGAATTAGGAGTTGGTTAACTTAAAGCAAAACTGCCAAAATCATTTCTTTCAGGAGGCCAGAGAAAAACAAGCAAGGAAAGCGTTCTGGGTTTGAATTTGGTTTCTTAGCTCTTCATCCAAAGACTACGCCTCAAGACAACCACTAAACTTCTCTTTATGTTTTATTATTATTATTTCAGTTTTAAAAGAAATCTTTAGAATATTTTTGAGGTCAAAATCAGCATGGAGAGACAAGTTCCACAGATTTAAGTGATAGTTTGCTCTGATTCCAGACCACAAGGCAGGAATTTTAAGTGGTTGGCCTAAATTCTGTAATAGAACATTTATATCAACATTCAACTCCTCTGAAATGAAGTTATGCCACTGAATTAGTCATCTCACCCTTTATATGTTCATTTATCCTTAAAATGCAGAGGATAAACCATTTTATTGTAAAGGAAGTCATTCCTTCCCTTGGCTGCTGATGTCAAGCCCTGAAAACCAAAGCTCTGGGCACCCTGATTCAAACACGTCATAAGCTATCAGTGCCTCGTTTTAATTTTTAATCCTAATATAAAGAATAACCCCAAAATATTAAAATTAACTAAGAGCATGACTTGAAATCACAACACAGCAAGAAATAGAAACTCTCATCTCTGTTACTTCAGGTGCTGTTGTGGCCTCATCTCTTCAAAAATCCCAGCTCCAAGGATAGATTTGAGTTTCAGGGATTCACCACCCTTTTTCCAGCAACCCAAGGGATGTGTATGGACAAAAGCCCCTTTTTCCAGTAACCTTAGGGGTGTGTATGGACATCCCAAGTGGGTTGGGAACCCCCAGTTTAGACTGGTAGGATTCCTGATGCACTCCCATCAGCACATGGAGCATCCGTCCCAACATAGAATTGTCTCGCTCCTCAAAACTTTTATTTTTATTAACTTCTAACCGAGTATATTTTTATATTTTAATATCAGAGGTCCTGCTTTTCCCATCCAGGGAATGTATAAGTGTTTAGTAGCAGCCTGGAAGCCTGGATTCTGCGTCAGTAATTGCAAAAAAAGTGTGGTTTTCCCCTAAAAAGTTTGACCCTTTGTGTTCTTTACATCTTCCTGGTTTATATTTGTAAAGGTAAAATTGTGCAATGGCACTCTCTGCTTTCTTGAAAATTCTTTTTAGATGTAAAAGTTCTTTCCTCAAAGACTTACCCAAGTTTCTTAAAACAGGGCAGGAGATGCTTGTGCTCAGTAATGATGCAGAACCATCAGGGCTGATTCCCTCTTTAAAATGCTAATTATTTAAATACTGTGATTCTGTGTAGCTCCACATTCTCTAACTTTAATTGTCTCCAAGGCTCTGTTGGTTCACTTGCTTCCCAGATCCATAAACCATTGCAGTAATACACGTTCCTCTGTGTGTGTGTACGACTTCAGGTGCAATAAAAATGCATTACAGTGACTTACAGGGTTGGAAATTTCCAGAAATGTTGTGTTTAAAGTGTATCTGTGTGAGGATGGACACCAAGTCCATATGTGTTCATTGTGCCTCACTGTAAAACTGATGTTGGGGCTGAGAATGATAAACAACACACAGTGCTGCTGCAAACCGTGGCACTTTAGGAATTAATTAAAGCACGGAAAATATAAATATTCACATTTGTTCTTGCTGTGTGGGATTTAAGCCACTGTTCTGCCTCCAGCTCTGGTCACTATCAAAAACCTCCCAGATGTTTTGCCTCAAAAATTTTAGGCCATTTAGGCTTACTTTTTTTTTTCTGACTGGTTAAACTCAATCTCTATTTGGGCAAATACGGATTTTAGATCTGTAGGCTTAACTACACAACCACGCACACAAAGCTGCTGCTAAACCTGTTCTCAAACAGTGTCTGGGGAAACAACAGGCACATCCATGACTATTAACAGAAGACAATGCAGACAGGAGGGAGAGGGAAATCCAGACTAAAGGGTTGGACTCCGTCATCTCCAAGGTATTTTCCTATAATTCCAAGGCTCTGTAATAAGGGGATTCTTTGTAGCATGGCCTTTTAATTTCCTGTCTTTCCTTCAATTATTTATTTCTTTCAATTATTTCCTGTATTTCCTTCAATGATCTGTTTCCCAAGGGTCAGATGAGACTGGCTAACCTGTTCTGACGTGAAGGCTGCTGGCCCTCTTGGGTTCTCAGGTGTATGGATATACACACACACATATATATATATATATACACATACACAGGTGCATAGAGAAACACACGGAGGAGCTCTTAAAGTGCTCTTTTACACACATAACACCATCCCTGTTGGTTTTGTTTAACCCCCCGTGCTGCCACTAATGACCAAAGTTAATTACTCGCATCCCATTCCCCCCATTCATTCCCTCCTTTGCCCCCTCCTCTTACTCGCCCCCTTTTTACCCCTCCCCTCACTCATTCCCACATTCACACTCCTCACGCTTCTCCCTCACACTCATTCCCTCCCTTACACTCCTCAGATTCCTCACTCACTCTCCCCTGTGTACAAACACTCACTCCTCCTTCCCTCACTCCCTCCTCACACCCTCACGCTTCTCCCCTCACTCCCACTTCTCCCTCACACTCAAATTTCGCACTCCCTCCCTCCCATTTCTCCCTCACACTCACTCCCTCACTTACACTCCTCATCCAAATTCCTCACTCCCTCACACCTCTCCCCCCTCACTCACTCCCTCATTGTGTACAAACACTCACTCCTCCTTCCCTCACTCCCTCACGCTTCTCCTCTCACCCCCACTTCTCCCTCACACTCCTCATTCGGATTCCTCGCTCCCTCACACTTCTCCCTGTGTACAAACACTCACTCCCTCTCTCATTCCTCCCTCCCTCCCTCCCTCCCGGTCCGTCTGCGGCCCGGTTCCCGCCCGTCCCCTCACCTGGGCGGCGGGCTCTGCCCCGGATGCCGCTGCCCGCGGCGGGCGCTGCCCCGGTTGTTGATCGCAGCTGCCGGAAGCCGACGTGGCGGCGGCGCGGCGCGGCCTCGGCGGAGCCGCCGGCCGGCATGAGGGGCTGCGGGCTGCGGCCGCCCTGCCCGGCCCCGCGGAGGGGCTGCGGGCTGCGGCCGCCCTGCCCGGCCCCGGCGCTGCTCTGCGGGCTCCTGGCGGCCGTGGCGGCGGTGGCCGAGGGCGGCCGAGCGCTCCCGCAGCTCAGCGACGACATCCCGTTCAGGGTGAACTGGCCCGGCACCGAGCTCAGCCTGGTCGGTACCGCGGGGTCCGCACGGCCGGGGAGGGGCTCTGAGCCCTCCGAGAGGGGCTTGGGTGGGGCTGGTCCGCCGCCGGAGGGAGCCCGGCAGCCGGGAGAGAATCCCGGGGGATCCTGTGCTGAGAGCGGCATGGGGAGAGCTGGGGGTGAAGGGGCATGGCTGGGGCTGGGGGCTGTAATAAAGGTCTGAAATGGGGGAGCGTAGAGGGGATCTGGAGAGGATAAGGAATCTGGGGATCTGGAGGGGTGCGGGGATCTAGAGGGAGACAGGAATCGAGGAGATCAGGGATATGGCTGGAAGTTGAAGGACCAAAGCGAAGGCAGCAGCAAGCAACTCCCAACCAGCTTAACCACCAAACCCCGGGCTTGTGGTATAATTAAGTCCCGGGAAATGCTCTAGATCACCACTCAGGAATTCAGGAGTATTTCTAATGAGTAGCATTAAAAAGCCCCTGCCTGGCTGATCTGTGGGTTGGTTGTTTTCTCAGCCGACCACTGGTGTCTTGTACAAGGAGGACAATTACATCATCATGACCACTGTGGATAAAGAGAAGTACAAGTGTCTCCTGCCATTGATAGCCAGTGGCAACGAGGTGAGTTCAGGCGAATTATTCTGTAAATATAAACTCTAGCTGAGTCTTTACATTGTCAGTTTTAACATGAAATATCCTTTTGTTGCAGGAAGAAGAAAAGGACTATAAGGGTCCTACTCCAGGGGAACTGCTGGAGCCTCTCTTTAAGCAAAGCAGCTGTTCCTATAGAGTATGTTAATTCTGTCTTGTTCGTTAATTGCCAATTAAAAGGTTGCAGGCCAGTCCCTGTCAAGGTTTGGGGTAGTAAATGAGATACTAATACAGCGTGAAACAACTTTATGTCTTAATATTGGTGACAAAATTCTGTGTGATTAAAGATGTCAGAATTCAGATAAATGGGTTGCTATGGTAGCAGTTAAAAATGTGGGTTTATTCTCTTTAATTTTTTTCCCCTGCATTTTATCTGTGTGAAAGTCAAGGAAGTCTTCTCTGGTATGTTTGTTTGGGCAACAGTGAGACCACTCGCTGTGCTCTTGTTTTTGAGGCTGCTCCAGCATTTTGCTGCAAAAGCCAACATTTGGGTGGTTTTGTGGTGTGTAAATCCATCTAAAGATAATTTTTAAAATGTGTTTTATTTCTAAGATTGAATCTTACTGGACTTACGAGGTCTGCCATGGGAAACATATCCGTCAGTACCATGAGGAGAAGGAAACAGGGCAGGTAGGCTGCTCACAACACCCTTCTCCACTGGCACCTTCCTGCTGAACTCCTCCAGCAGGCTTGAATTCCCCTGAAAAAAAGCTTGGAAAGTGGTAACTGGTGTTTGTTTTGACTGTAGAAAATAAACATCCAAGAATACTACCTGGGGAATATGATAATGAAGAACCCGTTGTCAGAACCAGGTGTGTTTTAGATTATTTCATTCTGCTGATGTTAATGGAATTCTTGGGTTTTAATTAGTCCTGTCTGACCAGTTTTGAGAGCCTTTTTTAAGGGAACCTGGCACAGATCCTCAGAAAAATTCAAGTGCCTAGAGTGGGACTTGGCTGGAAATGAGGTCGCTGAGCCCCAGACTCCAAGAGCAGTTTAGAATAACTGATTTCTGGAGCATTTTTTGCCTGTAAATTAGTTCAGAGAAGTCTTCCAAATCCACAGACTAGGTGTTCATTCGGGGTTGATGGGGAGAACAGAAACAGAATAGAAAAACACCACCTAGGCTGGGGTGTTTGTTTCATTCTAGGCTAGTGTGTAAAAGGTGGACACCATTGTTTTCCTAGAAGTGATTACCTGGAATGCTGCAGTCTCCTGGGAGGGATTTAGTGCTGTTCATCCCACTTCTGGATCCCTGGCTGCAGCCCTGAGTTAGCCCTGGAAAGAAACAGGGGTTCAGAACCTGCCTTGTTTGGCCTTTCTGGGGGAGTGGGTGCAGAGGTGCCTTGTCCTGCTGCTGCACAGAACATGGAATGTTTGATTCCAGTCACCCATTTTGTGGGGCTGGATGTTGTGATGGTGCCTCAGATCACCATAGCTGAGTCTGTCAGGCTGTTGTCCCTCTGCCCCTTGTGTCCTGTGTCCTTTCCCTGCTTCCCATCTGGCAGCTCCTGCTCCTTCCAAAGCACCTGCCTGTTTCCTGTCCAATTCCCACCCTTCCCAAACAGCTGCAGTGACGTGTTCTCCAGCCCTGCCTTGGTGTCAGGGCTGGGTTTGGCCTGTCCTACCAACCCCAGGTGCTTTTGTGATGACCTGACGTGTATTTTGCTTGCTGTGGGCCTCAGATCACTGGTTATTTCCTTTCTTTCCTCTTTTGCACCTGCAAGTGGCTCTTGGCAGTGTATAAAACACCAGCAAATACACAGACCAGAAAAAACTTCTCTGTGAAATCCCATTTTATTCCAAGTGCACAAACTTACCTCGTTCTTAATTATTCCCTAGATCAAGAAGAGAAGGAAAATTCCAAAGACGGTGCAAAAGAGGCAAGTGAAAAACATCTGTTTTAACTTCTGCCATCAGTAGTGGAGGCAATTTATATATGATCATAGAATCCCAGAATGGTTTGTGTTGGAGGGGACCTCAGATATCCTGTGCTACCTGCCATGGGCAGGGACACCTTTCACTATCCCAGGTTGCTCCAAGCCTCATCCAGCTTGGCCTTGGCACTTCCCAGGGATCCTGGGGCAGCCACAGCTTCTCTGGGCAACCTGTGCCAGGGCCTCCCCACCCTCATAGGGAGAAATTTCTTCCTAATATCCAATCTAACAATAAGATGATGTAATTAATCCCCTCCCATAATGAATATCAAGAAATGAAACTGTTCCTGAGCCTCACTTCTTTTGCTTTTAATTATCAGTCCCAGCTCAGAAAATGTATTTAGTCTCTCTACTCAAATTACTTACACTTAACAAAGCCCTACAGCACAAAATCTCCAAGAGATGGAGCTGACTTGCTAGCCCATCCCATAATACTCTGTGTTTCCCTTTCCCCTTAGAGAACTTCCCCACTTGTTTAGGCCCCAAAGCTCAGCTCTTGAGTTGCTGATTCTGTAGCAAAACAATGGGAATACCTGAAGCACGCTGGAGTTAGAGCAGGTTTGACCTTACTGCCAGTTCCCCTTCATTTTCAGATTGAAATGAAATTTTTGTGCCTGTGGCCTTTAGAATAGCCCAGAGTGATGGTTGATTAGTGATCTCAGCAACACTCAGGCCTGGGGAGCATTTTGAAAGTAATTTTTGGGACAGAACATAGCCTTTTCTGGTGGCAGTGGCCTTTTGGAAAGCCAAGTAAACAAAGTGTTTTGCAGTGCAGCTTTTTTTTCCTTCAGCTTCAGGGGAAATGAAGTCTTTTATTGCCTTTTTCTTGGGCAGTATTTACGATGCACTTACCATGTCAGAATTTCCTGGAATCTCTTATCAGGAAAGGGCACGTTGGTTCTTTAATCTCATGAATGTCTTCACTCATGGTTGAGCAGTTTCTAGGAGGAGTCAGTGGCCTGGGATGGGGTGACGTGGCTTGAAGGCCAAAGCAGGTGAGGGGCAGAAAGGTCCTGGATCCCTGGAATGTCCTGACCCTGCAAAGGTCTTGGGATCCCTGGAGTGTGCTGACCCCACAAAGCACCTCTGTCTTTTAGCACAGACCCCTGTCTGTTCAGCACTGAAAACCTTCAGTAGCTCAAAAAGGTAAAAAAGAGTCAGTTTGTGGGTTTGGGCACTTTGGGAAGCCAGGAGCTCCAGCTGCTTCTAGGATAGACTTTACCCCTTTAGGGAATTAAGGTCTTAAAGAGGGAGCTGGATGAGACAGGAAGGAACAAACCTGAAGAGAGAGGAGTGGAAGGTGTGACACAGTGGGATGTACTTTGTCTATATTTACTTTGTACACACCATTAACTTTGTTAGCCACAGCCAGGGGTGGTGTGGGATCCTCTGGATAAGGAGCAGCCTGAACTGGGAATGCTGAAAGGTGTAGTGCAGGTGCCAGGGTGACTTGGCAGGGATTTTTTTGGATTCTTTAGGGCCTGATGCTGCAGGTAATGAGCCTGGGCAGACCCAGGACAGGTCTGAAACACTGACCAGCCACACAGGGGCTGATTGTAACCTGGCAATGCTGGCTCTGCGCACAGGAATAACATTTTTTTTTTTCCAGGGGAGTCTCAGGAGCTCTCCTGTGGTTCTGACCTGTTCCTTTCCCTCACCCAGATCCCCACAAAGAACATTGAAGGGCAGATGACACCCTACTACCCCGTGGAGCTGGGCAATGGCACTCCCTGCAGCCTGAGGCAGAACCTGCCCAGGTCCAGCACTGTGATGTACATCTGCCACCCTGAGGCCAAGCACGAGATCCTCTCCGTGGCAGAAGTCACCACCTGCGAGTATGAGGTGGTGATCCTGACCCCGCTGCTGTGCAACCACCCCAAATACAGGTACAGTGCCCACAGCCACCCCAAATTCAGGTACAGTGCCCACAGCCACCCCAAATTCAGATACAGTGCCCACAGCCACCCCAAATTCAGATACAGTGCCCACAGCCACCCCAAATACCGGTACAGTGCTCACAACACTTCTGTCTCCTCCTCGTTTCTGATTTCTTGAGGGAATCTCAAGAATCTTCATGGTATTTGAAGACTGCAGATACCACGTGTGTCCACTTTAAAAGTCTATAAAACCAAAAGTATCTTCTCCAACCATAACCTTAACCCTGATTTTAGCTCCTCCCATGAGGAGCTCTCTAGAAGTCATTTACATAGGGATAATTCACACTTTGAGTGGTTTTTTTTTCCAAAAATTAAGTGTAGGCTTCTTGTTTCCTCCCCTTCTCTGAACTGTACCACGTATCTGAGGGAACCCCCTGAGTCTTTGGACCTTCCAAGGGGTGTAAAGAGAACTGCAAAGGGAATGTGCCATACAGACAAGGGGGGATAATGGACAGTATGCCTGGATTTGCACAGATGTTGGAACAAGTGAGTATTTAATCAGTGATCTGAAACAGGCCACAAGGTCTGAAGGCAAAATCCTGCATTTTGTAAACACTTGGCAGTTGGAGTTACTAAGTGCTGCTATTTTTAATGTTTGGCATCCACTGTAAATTTTCTCATGTGGATGGGTTTGCTTATCTATCTTTGTTATCTGCTTTACTTATCTGTGGCACTGTTAATCTGTTTACTGTGAGAGCCTTTTAAGCCTCTGTAGCAGTAGGAAAAAACCACAGAAAGTGCACAGGGCAATTGTTCTGTTGCTTGATAAGGATAAAATCTGCAGCTGCTGCCTCCTTCCAGAGGGAAGGCCTGGAAGGGTTCCTGGCCACCAGCAGGAAACACTGAAAATAAACACACAGGATCATTACTCCCCCCCTTTATGTCACCTTGGTATAAAAGGAAAGGTGGAGGTGGCAGCCTGGGAATGCTGCCCAGTGACATCACAGGGATCACAACCCAAATTCCAAGTTCAGTGCCCTTTTCTCCTGTTGTGTGCTCCCAAAACAGCCCCGAGCAGTGCCTCAGCCTCTGGGGCTTTCCCTGTGCACCTGGAATCTCATCCAGGGAAGCACCTGCACCACCTGAGCAGCAGCAGATCCAGAAACTCAGAGCACTGAGCTGATCCCTGTGCTTGAAGGTGTAACAGTGACGTGTTCTTCCCTCGCTGGGCAGGTTCAGGGCTTCCCCTGTGAATGACATCTTCTGCCAGTCCCTGCCAGGATCCCCACTGAAACCCCACAACCTGGAACAGCTGGAGAAACAGCAGGAAATGCTCAAGATGCCTTTCAGGAGGGTTAAGGAGGTAGGATTTGTTTCATTTACTTTCCACCTTTAACACATTTTGTGAGGTGATGTCAGTCTCTCATTGGTCTTTAAGCTTGTTGAAACCATCTGTAACTCACCCTATTTGGAAGGAAAACAAAGCAAGTGTGGGCTACTGATTTAAATTTTGTAGCCTACAGTTCACAAATGCGTGAAGGGTTTGACTGGAATTTTCTTCCAGCTAAAATTGACCAAAACAGCCGACCTGCTTCAGTGTTCAGTAACTTCATATAACTTGTAAGATTTTGTAGGGGACTTCATTGTATCCTTTAATTGCAGGAAGAAATGCCTTCAACGAAAGAAGAGAAATTCTCTTCCATCCACAAGCCTGTGGCTGTTGGGAGTCACCAGCTGTTAACAGTGGGGACAACCCACATCTCCAAACTGACCGATGAGCAGCTCATCAAGGAATTCCTCAGTGGCTCCTACTGCTTCCATGGGGTGAGCAGCAAAGCCACGTGGAATACATCCTAATTTATGTGCTTGTTTAATTTTTATCTTCAGCTCTTCTGTTGAAATTCAGTTTATTTGAGCAGACAGTGAAATGAAAGTAGGTAACAGAATTAGCCTGGATTTTCATTAACTAACAGAATGGAGTTTTACAGCTGAAACACCTGGTTTAGGGCCTGGGGGGGAAATGGATGGGTCTGTTCTGGGGTGTTCCGTTTGTTTTAGGGGTTCTTTTTAACACTGAGGTTGTTCCTCTCCCCAGGGTGTTGGCTGGTGGAAATACGAATTCTGCTATGGAAAATACGTCCACCAGTACCACGAGGTGTGTGCAGAGAGCTCTGGTAGCTCCTTTAAGTTCTTGTTTTGCATTTTTTTTTTAATTAGGGTTGGAATTAAATGTGTAAGGTGGTATTTTTTGTTTGGATTTTATTTGTTTTTATTTATATTATAGTTTCCTAAGTTGTGAGTTTTATAGTATTTTAAGTTAATAAACTAAAAATGGAGGTTTTTTAAGGATAAATTGTTTAATTAAGAAATGATAGTTAAATTATTTTTACTTTTAATTGAATAATTAATCATTTGTGGTTTGTAATGTGGATTTTGAAATTTAATTATAAAATATTAATTAGATTTATGAAGAAGAAGGTGAAAAAGAAGGACAAACTTTTAAAATTTTTTATGTTGTTATATATATTATTATATTTTGAAATGTTTAAGTTTTGCTTTTTTACTATGTGGTATTACACACTTTTATTTAAATTGCACACTTAAAATTTTAATTTTATTATTTAATTTTGGAAGCTTTTTTCATGGCCTCAGGTTAAATGTAGTGGTTTTTTTTGGAGGTTAGTGCTTGTCAGCACAGAAAGTTTAAAATTCTCAGTGACTAAGGGTTCCAACATTCCTGTTAAGGAAATACAATCCTCTGTAGTGATCGGTTTTTCCTGTTTTAGGATAAGGAGACTGGCAAGACCTCGGTGGTGGTGGGGACGTGGAGCAAGGAGGAGCACATCGAGTGGTCGAGGAAAAACGCAGCCAGGACCTTTTACCTGCGAGAGGATGGCACCCAGACAGTCAGGTACCAACCCAGCCCTGGGCAGTTTGGGTTGTGGACAGATAAAATAAACTGCCAAGAGCAGCCTGTGCAGGTTTGCCCCCCAGTCAACATCACAGATGAGGAATTCAGCACTTTGGATATGGCACAGAGAAAAATCTTTCAGCACTGAGCAACTCTTTCCCCCTGCAGTAATTGCAGTACCCCCTATTGCTATATAATACAATAATGTATATAATATAATAATATATATAATATAATACTGCGATAATATATAGTCTAATAATGTATATTTGTTACTATTTGTATATTAAATACTTGACCAATGATGAGGTGCTGGATTGCACCACTGAACTGCCTGCTTGAAAACTGTGTTGAATACTTCCAACCTCTTCCATTCTGAACTTTCCTGGCAGGATGGTGTCTCATTTCTATGGAAATGGAGATGTTTGTGACTTGACAGACAAGCCAAGGCAGGTGACTGTGAAATTGAAGTAAGTGGACTTTTACAAAATGATGTTTTGTGTCTCTTTCCTGCTGCTTCTGTTGTCACAACGCTCAGAAGGCAGTATCTGTTAACTTAATGAAATGCTGCAGACAGCAGTGAAATACTGTGTGCTTCTTGCCTACTTATAACCCTCCAATTTCTCCTGTTCCCAGATGTAAAGAATCAGACTCCCCTCACGCTGTCACCATTTACATGTTGGAGCCTCATTCTTGCCAATACATCCTTGGGGTAGGTACAGACACGCCCTGAGGTCAGGGCTGGTACTGGAGCCCATCTCCAGGTGTGTTTAAGGTGGCCCCTTTCTCCCAGTGACTCTCCCCCAAGATTCCTGCAGGGCTGAGTTAATCGTTTGGTCTCTGTGTTCCAGGTGGAGTCTCCAGTCATCTGTAAAATCCTGGATACAGCAGATGAATACGGGCTCCTCTCAGTGCCCAGCTGAGGACAGCAAAGCCCCCGAGGCCAAATTCCTGGCATTCCCATGGGAACAGTGTCTGTGAGCTGACAAAGGCCTCACCAGCACAGCTCTCCAAGCTGAGGGACTCGTGAACCACTTTGTGTATAACTATGTGTATATAAGAGCTTATTGATAAACTTTTAATGATTAAAACCTTGTCTTGCACTTCCTGCCTGGCTCATATGTGACACCTTCCCCCCTCGCTGGTGCCATTGTTAAGGTGTAAACTCAACTCAGAAAAAGTCACAAAGAGAACTGAAGCTTCAAGGGAGGAGTTCAGCTGCCAACAGCGGGAAGAGGTGAAGCCAACACTTCCTGCTCAGGAGCCACAGCACCACTCATGGTTTTTCTACTGTTCCTGCTTCCTCCAAGCACCAACGTTACCTCACCCTAACTGCTGGGAATTGTATTCTTCTGTCACTATACCTCACCCCTCTTCAGCTATTCTGCTATTTCTGGGCTGCTTCTCAGGACATTCCAGTGATTTATTTATATTTAACACTGTAAGGTTCATAATCATACAATTATTTTGCTGAACATCCTTCCTGCTACCAGGTCCAGTTCCCTGTAGTGTGTCCACATCACAGAGAACATTTGGGAAATTTTGATCTGCTGGCGCTAGACATTCCTAGAAGTAAATTGGGAGGGATCAGAGAAGTTGAAATACTGCTGACAGGAGGATCTGAAGTAGATTTAAATTGTATTTTTGAAAAAGTTTGTAATGGCCAACACCCAGCAAAGCCTTGAACGTCTGGGGTTGTAGCAACAGTGTCCGGTCACCGCGTGTTGGTCACTTCCACGTGCCCACCACAGTTCCCCTTTTCTGCAGCCCTTGTGCAAGGCACAGGGATTTCTGATGCCTGTGGGGTGGAACCTGCCAGCCACGTGGCAGATGAGTGGGCAAATAACGCCCAAAATACTCCCCTGAGCTGCTGGACTGTTGCAACACAACCTGTTTTAGTGTCTCGCCAAGCAGAAAACCCAAACAGCAGCAGCAGCAGCATGATTTGGCATTTAAATTGACGTTCACTGCTCTTGCTCATATCCCAGTTTCTGAGGCTCAGCAAGGTGGCAGAGGGACCTGGAAAGGGGGAAGAGTCTTTATTTACATAGATTATTTCCCTATGGAAAATGAGGATTCCCCCATTCCCAGCCTCCCTGCCTGCCAGAGGCACCAGCAGCCAACACAGAGTAAGAAAAGATGAAAGCATTTCACCTGCTGCTGCCTGCACAAGGGGCTGGCTGGATCCCCTCCTGTGCAATCTCTCGGGATGGTTTTATTTGGGATCACAGCTGACCTGATTAAAGGCTGGAGCCACCCAGCTCTGGGCAGCCTCAGCATCCCTCAGGCTGTGCCAGGGAAGGGAACACAACACACTCACTCTCCTGCACATCCCTTCTTGTGGTGATTAGATCAGAGGGCAAGCCAAGAATAGTTATTTCGTGGAATGTCAGAATTCCCCTCATGGGAGGGAACTCCCTTGCAGGAGGTGGAAGCACATCCCTGACTCAGAAGCCACAGCACCTGGTGCCCCCCAACAGCAGCTTTTGCCATGGTGTGAGCAAACAGGCTCTTGGCAAACTCCTGTTCCTCAGCCTCCACTTCCCCTTCCACAGGAAGCTCCACGCTCACAGCTATTCCTGCCCAGCATCCGGGCCGCCCCAGCACCCACACCCACCTCCAAAAAAAATATTTTTTGCTCCCCCTCCTCTCCCAGGCCCTTCTGACCAGCAGCTGACTCAGGTTTGCTCCTACACCTGCAGGAGGTAGAGCTATTTCACACACACAAGTGCATTTCCAGGTCATAAATATCTTTTTATCCAGCACCTAAATCCAAGCCCACCTTAATAACAAAAGGTGAGGTCTGGTCTCCTCAAAGCTGGTGCTGATTCTCTTTGGATTTGAGCAGCACCTGTGCAGGTTCAGCTCTCCTCCACTAAACAATATTTCCAGTACACAAAACACCTTTCCCTGCAAAAAGAGGCAGAACCAGTGGCACGTGACCTGTTTTGGGAATGAAAACACTGCTCCTGCTCTTGGCCACATGGTGTGGATCTTCCTTGCTCACTCAGACCTTTTTTATATCCTGTTCTACCCTCAATTCCCAAAATAAGAGATTGCTTAAAAAAAAAAATACAAAAGCACAAAGACAGGGTGTTGGATGAAACAAAAAGAACAATTCTAGCACAAGAAATTGGTGGAATAACTGTGCTTTTACCAAAAAACTGCCTTTTAACTTTGTCCCTTCCAACCATGACTGACTCTCTGGGATTTTGCTGGCCCCTGTGCTGGGATGGAGCTGTCCCATCTTCCCAAAGGAAAGCACAGCCCGAGGCTCATGAGCACCACTGCATTTAGAATTGTCCAACTGCAGGGTGTCACCCCACACTGACAGCAGGGGCCAAAATTTCCCCTGACATATCCCAGCTTATTAATTTCCTGCTCCTTTTATCAAAGAAGGTTGGGATCTGTCTGAAGATCTGTGGGGCAGTTCCCAGAACCTGCCACAGCAGGAAAGTGCCTGCTCAAACAGCACAAATCACCTTGGGTTTTCCAGCCCTTAGGGCTGGACAGAGGGGCCTCTGGGCTGCTGTGAGTTTCCAGTCACTGATGGTTGCAAAAGAGTGGGAAAAAAAATTGGAAGTGGTATAAAGGTAAGCTCTGACCTCACTGAAAGCTCCTGGTAACAATTTAGAGTAAGGTTCTTACCCAGGTGTCCTTGTGGGGCATCAACTGACCCCAGGATGTGTGATGGCCACTCCAAGCTGTTTTTATATTATTTTCTTCGAGGGAAAGGCAAAGGTGGAGTTACAGTTGATGCCATTTCATGGTTATGAGGAGTTTGAGTGACTTTGGTCATAGCTAAATACCTAATAGCACAAGTAACCTGAATTTCTGAGTTAGTGAAGCCAGGGCCAGCATTGTCTGGATCATTTTTTTGGCTCTGGTCCCATTAGCAGTGTTGTTTCTGGCAGAACAGACCACAGCATCACGCTGTTGCTCCACCCTTTGCTCTGGGTTCCCCTGGCAGCAGCACCCCAAGCTCCCTCAGCATTCCTGCAGTCTGTCCCTGCTGAACGTGGTTTCCCAGTTTTTTTCCCCCACCTGCGATGCTGTGAAACCCTCGGGACGACGCTGTGATGCATTAAAAGAGCAACTTCCACCTTTTATTTCCCCCCTCGGCCACGGCTTGGGCAACGCCTGGTAGCGGCGCGAAGGGGAAAACTTGACGGATTTCACCAGGGTGGATCATCTCCGGCATCACCTCCTCCTCCTCCTCCTCCTCCTCCTCCTCCTCCCCAGCCCGCCCCACAAAAGGCACCCGAGGCAGCAGAAGGGGAGGGAGGAGCGCCCAGGAGAGCAGGTACGGGATGTCACAGGGATGGGAGGGTGGCTGGAAGGGAGGACAGAGCTGTGCGATAAATTGATGATGCTTTTCATTCCCTGGGGGTTCCTGGCTCACTCCTATGCCAGGTGTTCCTGCGGGATGTGGGAAGGGCAGTGAGGACAGAGCTGAGAAGTCAACGAGGTCCCTTCCCTTCACTTAAATCCGGTGGGCAGCAAGGGGGACTGTGGGGACACAGGTGACTCACATGGAATCTGCACCTGCCTTCGCAGGGAACAAATACACGGCTTGGGTCAGGGACTCTAAAATTATTATTATTAATACTTGTTATTGTTATTTTTATTGTTATTGTTATTATTATTATTGGAGCCGGGCAGTGACGCTCCCGGCACTGGGAATGCTGAGGGTCACTGGGGCAGTGACCTCTCCTGGCTGACTCCCATATCCTGCTCCCAAGAAAACTTACCAAACAAATGGTAAATCCTCGGCAGAGCAAAGCTCCAGGGGCTGGGTTCAGGGGAAGATCCGAGGACAAACAATCACGTGGAGCTCCCTGGGGCGTCACTGAAGTGGCTGAACAGGTTTTGGAGGGGTCAGACTTACTCGGTTGTCGTGCACCGGGATGGGAGATGTAAAACCTGAGCCCCACGGAGCCCTGAAGGACATTTCAGGTTTTGCAGGGGGAAGATGGTATTGCAGGGACTGCCTGGGAAAGAAAAGAAAGAAAATTTCAGACTCTATCTACCATGGCTTCAGATGAAGAGTGCTCTCCTTCAAATCATTCTCTGATACTCTCTTTCTGTCTTACTCTGAAGTAAAATTTGTTTTATTTTGCTTAATAAAAAGGGATTCATGGATACAACTAATGAAACAATTTCTAGACTTCAAGTAAATTAGGATTATTTTTAAGGATATTCATTCACATATTATAAAGATGGAATTAACACTTGTTTTCTCCAGGATGAGGACCCTTTTTGGCTGCCTTCATTTCTACTTCATTCCTTTCTTACTCAGCAGAGCACATGGACTCCTAACGTGGAGAACACCTCCAGCTTTCCTGGTTTATAACTACTCCTATTCAAATCTCTCCTCTGTCTCAGAAGCACAAGCTCCAAAAACAGCAAGAGCTCTCAATTTCTCACACAATGCCATTGAAAAAATTACCCAGAGAGACTTAGAAGGATTTGACTGGCTGGAAGTTCTGGACTTTTCCTACAATCGGATCAGGGCTGTTGAGCCTGGAGCCTTCCAGAGTCTGCTCAGCCTGGTTTCTGTGGATTTATCATTTAATGATGAGAAGCTGCTTCTGTCAGATCTCCCACCCCACCTGAAGGTCTCACCTGCTGGCAAAACTCCGAGGTCTTTGCAGCTTTCCAAGAATTCTGCCACATCCTCGGGGGCTGTTCTGGAGCCTTCTGCTCCCACTGAGGAGCTGCCACGTTCTGGAGTTCTGTCCCTCCTGCAAATCCTCAGGCCCAGGCTCAGGAGAAGCACAGGGAATCTGCTCCGGAGGGGGGAGAGGAACACAACAGCTCTTCCTACAGCCACAGCTGAGCCCACCCTCTGTGGAATTCCCATCAATGGGACACTCAACCTGTCCCACAGCAACCTCTCCCAGGAGGAGCTGATGTTAAAACTGGATGAGGATCTCTGCCAAGCCCAGCTGGGCAGGATTTTGGAGCTTGACATCAGTCACAACAACATAGAATGGGATCTTCTGTCACTGTTTTCCCTGTTCTTCCCAATGGAAAACACGCTGTCCATCGATGCCAGCTTCAACAAGTTAACCATTAACATCCTGGATGCCGAGTTCTTCTGTAAGTTCCCATCCCACCAGCTTTTGTTCCTAAACATCAGCCACAACCCCATCAACAACCTAGACAGGCTGTGCCTCCCTTCCAGCATCAAGGAAATTGATTTGTCCTTCACCAACATCAGCCAAATACCCCCGAATTTTGCTCCAAAATTGTTTAACTTGGAAAAAATGCATGTTCAAGGAAACCATTTCATCTACACAGCATTCTCAGAAAGCGGGAATACACTTCCAAAATGTGTCCCTCCCCCTGGAACTGTACATATCACTGCCATCTCCTTCGTCAGGAACCAGGCTGGGACACCCATTGAAAGCCTTCCTGAGAAACTGAAATACCTGGGAATGTCCAACTGCTCCATTGTGGAACTGCCAGAGTGGTTTGCTGACACAGTGGAAGAACTGTTATTTCTGGACATCAGCAGCAACTACATTTCTGTATTCCCCACTTTCCCCCCTACCCTGCAGCAGCTCGACATCAGCAACAACGACATCAGAGTCATTGACCCCAGCCTGAAATCCCTCTCCAACTTAACAATATTTAGGATTCAAAATAACAAAATTACGGATATACAAACAGAGTATTTTCCATCAGCCTTAAAAGAATGTGATTTTAGTAAAAACAAGGTGAAAGTGCTGTCCTTAACTTCTGCCCTGGGGAAGCTGGAACATCTCAATGTTTCTGGGAACCTGATCACACGTCTGGAGCCTGCTGGCCACCTTCCTGCACTGACCAGCCTGGACAGCAGCCACAACCTGATCCCAGAGCTGCCCGATAGCTTTGGGGAATCCCTCTCAGGACTGAAGTATTTGAATCTATCAGGGAATAAGATCTCTTTCCTGCAGCCTGGCTCTCTCCCAGCTTCTCTGGTTGAGCTGGACATCAGTGACAACGCCATCACCACCATCGTGGAGGCCACGTTTGGCCCTCTGACGAGCCTCAGGGTTCTCACTGTGCAAGGGGAGCATTTTTTCTGTACCTGTGACCTGTACTGGTTTGTGAATGTCTACATCCACAAGCCCCAGCTGGAGATGAGGGGCAGGGGGGCTGTGAGGTGCAGCTTCCCCCCGGAGCGCCGGGGCTCCCTGGTGGGCAGCAGCCACCTGACTCTGCTGCGCTGCTCCCTGGGTGTCCAGCTGGCCGTGACTGCTGGAGCTGCTGGCCTGGCTGTGCTGGCCCTCACCATGCTCTGCTGGCGGCTGGATGGGCCCTGGTACATCAGGATGGGCTGGTACTGGTGCATGGCCAAGAGGAAGCAGTATGAGAAGAGGCCAGAAAACAAACTCTTCGACGCCTTCATCTCCTACAGCGAGCACGACGCCGGCTGGACCAAAGAGAACCTGCTGGAAAAGCTGGAAAAGGACGGGTTCAGGATATGTTACCATGAGAGGGATTTCAAACCAGGGCATCCTGTGCTTGGGAACATTTTTTACTGCATAGAGAACAGCCATAAAGTGCTTTTTGTTCTCTCTCCCAGCTTTGTGAACAGCTGCTGGTGCCAGTATGAGCTGTATTTTGCCGAACACCGGGTCCTGAATGAAAACTTGGATTCCCTCATCATGATCGTGCTGGAAGATCTCCCACCCCACAGCGTCCCACAGAAATTCAGCAAACTCAGGAAACTGCTGAGAAGGAAAACCTACTTGAAGTGGAGCCCTGAGGAACACAAGCAGAAAATGTTCTGGCATCAGCTAAAAGCTGTCCTAAAAACAACCAACGAGCCGCTCTTGAGAGCGGAGAACGGATCCGCTCTGGAAATGCAGGAGCTGGAATGAGACCCAGGGAACCCTGAGAGCTGTGCTTGGAAAGCCTGTGCTCAGATAAAAGCATTTACCTCCTGCAGAGGCTGCTGTGATGCCCAGGGGTTTGGATCAGTCCCAGGAGAGGCTCCTAGGGGGACTGCAGCACACCCGTTATTCCCTCTGATACAGAATCCCAAAGGGATAAGACCTGAGCACTGATTAAAAGCCTTTTCCTCCTGGATGCTTGGATCTGTCCAGCTATTCCCACCATTTCTGTGGGTGCTGTGGATGTCACCTGAAAAAAAATAACTGCTCAAGTCACAGTGCATGTCCTTGCTGCCTTCCTGAGGTGGTGTGGCAGTGAGAAGTGGTGTCTAAGGACTGGACAAGAGATTTCTGGTTCTGGGACAGCTTATGGTGGGAACACACCCACCTGTGTGCAGGTAAGAGAGCCACAAATCATGCTGGTACACAGGGAGCAGCTCCTTTCTGTGCTCTGGCAAGGGAAGATTAAAGATGGACTTAATTGAGCCCTCTGAGAGAGGCTAAACCCACACTGCTACAGACTTTGGGTTCAGTGACTGCTGGAAGAGATGAGACTTGAAAATCTTTTGTAAATTCAGAATAAAATATGCAACCAGACAGTACAGAAAAGACCAGCTGAGTGTGGTGGTCTCTGCTGTTAAATAACTGGGGTGAGTTTTGTTTAATCACAAATCTCTGGAGAATAAGCAAGTTCTGTACATTATTATTTAGGTTTAGGAAAGTTCCACCTTGCACAGTCACCCTGACCCATTTCCAGTGGATTCAGTGCTACCTCTGCATGGTCCTTGCCCTCACCTCATGCCACTTGATAATTTTATTTATTGTGCTTGGGAAAAAAAACAAAAGAAATTCAGCTGATCTAACTTTGACATTCAAGGGAAATCAACAGACTGTGACAGAAAATAAACAACAGGTGAGGACAAATGATTTAGCTTAGCAGGACTTGGACTTGCTCCTATGATGAGCAAACACAAACAACTTCCCAGTAGAAAATCCCAAATCCAGGAATGCAGCATGTTTGGAGGAACACAGACTCTGATCAGCTTTGAGGTTTTATATTTTAGGATAAAACACACAGTCCTGCAGGCCAGCAGCTGAAAAAGCCAACTCTTTATACCACAGAGATGTAGAGCTTAAAAAAGACTGTGAACTATAAAAACACTACAAATATTTTTGCTCATTTAAGCAACCAGAAGTCACCTGTTAATGAGATTCATGAGCTCCAAGTAATTAAGCTGTTTTTCTAATAATCTTTATGCTTTCCTTTTTCTAAAGCACTCAGTGGTCACATTTCTCACTTCCTCTCTTCCCACACATTTCCCACCTCCACTGCTGCTTCCCTCTCAATTCCATTGCTGCTTGTTAACCTTGCAGTGACTCTTTACTGGTGCTTCACTGGAGCTTTACTGGTTCTTTACTGGTTCTGTGCTCAGCAGGCTTCTGATAGAAGAGGCTAAGGGAAAAAAAGGAGAAGTTATACTCCAGAAGAGTCTGAACTAATGATTTTATCAAAATTTTGATTATTTCAGTCCACGATTCACTCTAAAGTTGTACCTGCTTTCAAAATCCAATCTCGATTTACTACATCCATGAACCTCCCACAAAACAGCTATTCAGTACAGCTTTGATGGGACTTCAGTTCTTTTGTCACACAAAGGCAATAAAACCTCCTGCTTGGCCCCTTCTTGCTTTACTCCCACGTGAATACTCAATGCAAATGTTTTATGACGTGTGAGTGGTTTAATTTTGAAACATGTGATGAAGTTCTAAAGGCACAGGAGAAGCTGCACATACACACTGCAAACCCCCCAAACTACCTCATGTATATTTTTCCTTCCAGTACAATTTGTACTGAAGAGAGATTCAAATACAGAACAGCCAAACAAGATCTTTTCATTATCTTTTATACTTGGTTTACAAAGAACCGTATTATTCATTTAGAGAAAAAAAATCTGGGCAGAGGGAACAGACTTATGGAAATAATTTCCATTTTAAATTTGTATTAGAAAGTTGTTCACACTGATTTTATTGCAAGAAAGCTGGTTTGAATTATTCAGAATTAATTCATATTCAGTGTTAAACAAAGAACAGCGTTCCAGGAGAACCTTGAGAACAGTTTAGTTAACAAAAAGCCTGAACCAACAACTCACAGACAGCAATGACGTGGACATTTTTTGTTTCTAAAGTAACAAATCACGTTCCCATCACTGTCATTTTCCTGAAGATGTGGCACTTTCCTATAGCAAGGCACCAAAAGCCTGTGGCACAATTATTCTGGAGACACTGAGGCTCTGCTAAAGGCCACAGAAGCTGAAAGGTGATTGCTTGTCTGGAAGAGATCTGGCCACTTAGAGCAAGAAGTACCAGGAATTTAAATGCCTCTGAATTGTCCTGTCTCCCAGGGAATTCCCACAATAAGATACAACACAAATGGGTGAATTTATTAAAAAAATACTTAACTTCTGTGATTTGCTCACTGTGTAGACCAACAGACAAAATTTCTAAACAGACAGGTGAAATCAAATTGATGTCAGACTTAACAAAACCACAAAAACTTGTCATTCTGGTGTTAGAAATGTTAATAGCTGTCAGTTCTGCCTTTGTATAAATCCTAATTTATACAAAGTCATGGCAAAAGAGCAAGCAGCAACACGACCGTGCCTGACAGCTGACCAGTGAGGGAATTCCAGAGGTGACTGTGCTCCTCCTGGTGTATCAGTCACATAATATTGCAAAATTCACCTTTATCCTCGAGTAATGCAAATAATTAGGTAGTGCACAGTTATTTTTATCAGATGTAAAACACTTCTCCAAGTTATTTTGGGGTACAGAATGCCACCATCATTAAAATCAGGGCCTAGAAGATAATTAATATATGTGCTGCAGAGGTTTATTCCAGTGCCACACTTCCCAAATATCCCTCCCCAGTGGAAATATAACACTGACCAAACAAAGCCTTGTCCCACTTGAAGCCAAAATTGAAATCCTGAACTTCAGCTCATGGAAATTTTGCCATTTACCTCACCAGAACCAAGGTTTCACTCCGTGAAGATAAAGGACTTTTGTTATTACTGAAAAACATTGATTCTTCCAACCTTCTGCAACGGGGAAGAGTTTAAACTCAAATAGTACCAAGCATCTCCCCAACTCTTCCTGAAAATAGAAGGTATTTATGCACTCGGTGTTATCATAGAATGGTTTGGGTTGGAAGGGACCTTAAAGCTGATCCATGAGCAGGGACACCTTCCCCTGTCCCAGGTTACTCTGAGCCCCCTCCAACCTGGCCTTATGACAAGAATGAACCACATAATCATGGCATCTAGTTTGGTTTTTTTTACTTGCCCGACAGTAAAACTCAGTAACAAAACCACCCTCGTGCAACAACTCCAAATGTAAAACATCCCTTGGCTGGAGCCTTGTTGGAACTCCAGAGCGCGTCACGGAGGCGGCAGCTCCGCGTTTGCTTCAAACGCAAACGGGAACGGCAGCAGTACCCTGGAGTTTGGAGCCATTCCTCCCCAAAGCAGAGCAGGGGAATCTCTGGAATGGCCAGGCGGAGCCAGGGCTACACGGAGGGCAGCGGGATGTGCCTGGTGGGAGCAGCACCGCAGTCCCGCGCCGCGCTGCCGCAGTGATGGAGCGCGGGGCCGCAGGGCTTGGCGAAGGCGAAGGAGGAGCCCGCGGGCTGCAGGCTGTGCGGGGTGCTCACCTCGGCTGAGGGGCTGCTGTTGTACACGCTGTAGTAGGGCTCCACCCGCGTGTTCATCGGCGTGGAGCTGCTCTGCCCGTAGTGCTGCTGCTGCCCCGCGGATGCCTTGGCGCTCAGCATGCTGTCCTTGGAGTGGCTGGCGCCACACGCCTGCTCCAAACCCTTCTTCTGAGGCTTTGGAGACAACATGTAGGCTGAGTTGGTCTCGTGGTGGGACGACTTGTTCCTGTTGACCTCCAGGCTGCCTTTGCCCATGGCTCGGAGCCTCGTCTTGTGCTTGCAGCAGAAGAAGACAAGGGCTCCGTACTGCAGGCACCAGAGCACGCGTCTTCGCAGCCCCGCGCTGTTGCGGGAATAGATAAAGGGATTTAATCCCGACTTGAAGAAAATGAGGGTAAACCCACACAGCTCGAATTGGTAGAGCACAAAGCCACCGCTACCGGACAGCATGTCCTGCACCAAGGAGATGGCCAGGGGCAGGCAGCACACCAGGACGGAGAGCACGATGACCACGCACGTCACCACCGCCTTGGAGTCTTTGGCCGTGGCCAGGTTGACGGCCGAGGCCAGTGGGAGCCGGCCAGTGAGCTTGGCGTGCCCGTGGGGCGGCTTGGTGCAGCTCTGGGTCCTGTACAGCTCTGGGCCCGCGAACGGCTGAGCCCTGGCCGTGCCCACGGCCACCGCGGGCGGGCACTTCCTCGCCCGCGCGTTCCTGCGCAGGGCCTGGGCGATCATCACGTAGGACACGGACACCACGGCCACGCAGCAGATGAAGTCGGTGACGTAGAGGTAGAGGATGAGCTTGCCCTGCCCGCTGGGCAGGCTGGCCATGGGCAAGCAGAGGCGGGAGCCGCGGGTGCGCAGCGTGGCCAGCGTGGCCAGCGTGAAGCTGGCGGCCCAGAGCAGCAGCGTGAGCAGCAGCGAGCAGGGCGCGGAGGCGGCGCGGTGAGGGTGCTTGCCCAGCACCATGCGCAGCCGATGCAGCGCGATCACCGCCACCGTCTTGAGCGACATGATGATGAAGCCGGAGCTGGTGAGGTGGAAGGTGAAGCAGAAGGCGCCGGGCACGCCACGGGCCGGGCCGAAGAACAGCACGAAGGCGAACATGGGGGCGGCCACGCCGCAGATGAAGAGGTCGCAGAAGGAGAGGTTGAGGATCATGAAGTCGAAGTCGGTGCGGAATTTCCGCAGGGCCGGGTCGAAGAAGGAGAGCAGCACGATGAGGTTGCCGTAGGAGCCGAGGCAGAAGACGAGGGCCAGCAGGGAGGCGCAGGCGGCAAGCGTGGCGGCGTGGGTGCCCTCTCGCAGCTCCGCGGGGCCGCTGCCGTTCGCGCCCAGCTGCTCCGCGGGCCCGGCCGGCAGCCGCCCTGACCC